TATAGAGATGAGAGTACAGCTAGTCATACATGCAACTTTTGGTTGCCTATTTAAGTAGTCTGCCCTAAGGTTCTATATTAGATGTTGTATCTATAACCTACTAGAAGATTATCTATTTAAACTCTCTGATCATTTGTTCTGTCATATTGGAATCCTTAACTTACCTTCCATATATATCTAATTGGTATACCATCTGAGCAGTATGGTTATCTACCCTTTTGTACTAGTTTCTAGGTTGTTATACATTTCAGAGTATATTACTTGCCAGTAAGGCACAGGGGGCTCCCTATTGTTAACTATCTATTCACTTTTAAAACATTAATATAGGTTACTCTTACAGAGTTCACCCAGACCCTAGCATTGACTTCATAGCATATTTCTAGTAGTTTTAGTATATTACTGTTTTGAACTCAGATTTCTAATCCAAATAGTCCAGAAGAACTGTAACCTGTCTTTGATATATTGAGGCCAACCCAATATCCTTTTTTTCTGATCTAAAATCCAGTAGTCTGGTTGATGGTACCTCTCACTCAAGATTCTTGCCTGCCTGAATTCTCTATATTGATATCTATTTTCTAAGTCTAGCCTTTACAGTAGTACTGTCAAAAATTTATATTATCTTTTTGCTTAGAATTTCCAAATAGGTTCTGACTTTCTAGTTCTACAGATTTATATAGTCTGAGAACTTATTTTAGGTTTGCACTGCCTGGTACTGGTTTGTATTCTTTTGTGTAATAGGTTACACAAATGCCTCAAACCTGTTAGTCATGCTAGTATGACTATAATTATAGATATCTTATCCCAACTGATCAACAGAATACTGTCATTATAATACCATCTATATATTACATAGGTGATTATCTAAATTTCATTGTCAGTAAGTTTTGAACTCACAATCTACTACTTGGGGGTATGACAATTTATTCACTTTACTAAGCACTACATCTATCTTTTAATTCTTATATATTTTACATTACTATATATAGTATTTATTAGTAATAGAGTAATCTTTATTGTAATTATTTATATATGTAAAATATCTATAAAAATACTGCTTTCTGATCTTTTAAGAAAATTAAATGTTTTTATACATTTTAATAGTAAATAAATTGAATGCAATATTTAATATCTTTATATATTATTTATTGTTGTTTCTATCTTAAAATACCTAATTACTCTATATATTATTAAGTTTTGTGTAAACTTTGTGTAAAATCTATCAAGTTATAGTCATCATATTATAATTAAACAGTTTCTGTTATCACTGTAATAAATAAAAAAACTACAGGTTAACAGCACCTATGACAGGATCAGCATTTGTGTAAATGATCTTAGAAATAATATGATTTGTTGCACTATTTAATTGCATCAAAACTTTAAAACATATAATGTTATAATTATCTTTATCTTTTTAGTAGTTTTGTTCTAAAGATTTTATAAATGCTAATCCGCAACAATAAGAAAATAAAATCAGCTATTACCAGGCATTAGCATATTATTTATATAATCTGATTCTATATCGGAATCGTAAAATTTTTTATCGGTTTGCTTTGTGCAATAATCGACATCAATTCTTTCTATTATTAAAAGGATTATAAAACTTTACAAGAACAAAGAAGTTTATGACACGACATGATTATTAATCTTACCCATTTTTTTTCCACTATTTATAAATTTAATTTCAACCCACATTGTGAAGGGATTGGATGATTTGCACGAATTATACCAGTTTTAAAATCATCAGGATCTTAAAAAGTATTTTAATATATTAACGAGTAACATTCATTATATTGAAAAGTTGGCTCAATCTATTTACTCGTATAATCTACTTGAAGTCCACTTGAATCTATGTTAATAAATTGGTTTATCCTCAATATCCCATGCAGTCGGTAAAATGATATTATTGAATGAAGATGTCATTTCTAAGTCTTCCGTTTGGGTTAAAAAATCTTTCAGTATTTCATTTAGATGATTACAATTAGTAAACAGAATAAGCAAATTGCGAAATGACTGATTTTATACGTACTTTGTGAAGGGTACCGGAGTTCCTGCCCGACCTAGTTTCTTTATCGAAATTTTATTTCCTTTTTTTGTCGATATGTATATGTTAAACAAAAAATATCATGTGAATCATAAAATAAACTTAAATCGTTTAAACCCAAAGTATAATTCGTAAATTTGTTATTAAACTTTAAATCTTTAAATAAGTTTTTTTTGCATAAAAGTTTAGACGTCTCTATATTATTTTATACTAATTTAGGTATCATCGTTTGGTAACCTTATATTAACAGCAGATCCTCAAAATTTACTGTGATGTAACTTATGATGCAGCCGCAGAACATAATTTTCAACTTCATTGACTAAATATTGAGAAATGACCAGTTAATCCACGCATTTTTTTGATATAAAGTATAGCCCAAGATTCATTGTTTGAAACTTATATATGAGTGCCGCAAAGCGAAAAACTGGGGACGTCTAAAACAGAGATAAGTTATATAATTAATATTTATTGAATTAACTTTAGGGTTAGGGTCATAGATTATGGTGAGGGATTAGAATGAGGTTAGGGTTTAGGTAGTTATATATATATATGCAAAATTGCATTCCCGACATTTTTGCTTAACCTACCTACCAAGGTAAGTTTAAACTAGGAATTGATCAGTCTGGACTGGTCCTCATGAATAATTAAAATAGCTAATTAAAAAATATGTTACCGTTACATAATCTTTTATTTCCGCTAGCCAATAAGATGTTTAGAGGTTTAAATAATCAAGGACCGTTTTTGGGACTGAAAAACATTAATGGACCGGTTTTCGTAGGATTGGACGGACTGGACCGGACTGGATCGGCCTTTTATTTTTTTCAAAATTATATAATTTGATTGGCCAACGGTCACATGATTTATATCCACTCATCATATGGGTTTAATTCCGGTCAAATTTGCAGATCATTTGGCCTAACGGAGATGAGTTTTAAACTCATCTTCGTTAGGTCAAATGATCTGCAAATTTGACCGGAATTAAATCAATTTTTGGGTCCGATCCCATATACGTTCGTTTTCAAAAATTTGCTTAATAATCCGTTTTTGATGCTCTAACAAAAAAATTCCTTGGGCAATTTTAGTGTATTCCAGCCCTTTCCTAACCTCAAATCTAACTCAACCCTAACATAAGCGAACTCTAAATAATTTTGTCGCATCACGTGATCGGAAAATTTTGGTGGCGATGCTAGTGAAGATCCACTTTTAGACATGAATTTCGGATTTAACGTCTGAATGTTAAATAAGTAATATTTATGCCTCGAATGAAATTCTGATTTGATAATATAAAAATTATAAGGGCAGTAGAGCGGTGTTTCAATTACATATTATAGAAAAGTTAGTATACTATCTGAATCTGAATTTAGACTAGCTGACTAAAAAAATTTACAGGTACGTAGGTTTTAATCAATAGTTTCATAAATCAATTTTGTTAAATGCAGAATTGAAGGTGGAACATTATCAACTCATTTAGTTATCATTGTAACTCAAAGTTTCAAATGCCATTTTTCCGAAAGAACAAAATCCCGATAAAGTTAGCAGGCATTAGCTATAATGCTGGCTGGGGTCATATCCTTTCGGAAAAATGTCTTTCGGAAAATCATACCGATACAGTAACCGTAATGTAGACCATAAATACTCCGGTTACTTAAAGCATAATTTAGGCCAAAAATAATTTTGCAAATTTCAACTATAATCCGGAGAATATAGCCCAGATTAATTGTAAAGTATTCCACGACTTATCAAAAATCGATAATAATAGGAATAATAGGGTAATCATAAGCAATAATCCGTTAATTCAACCTTGGATACAAACAAATTCCGTTAAAATTGGTAATACATATCGTGAGAATCTAGTGGAAAATAACATTGAGTTCACCAAATTCGACAAAAGTTTGGTTGATCTTGAAATATTAAAACAAAAGGGTGGTAATTTATTTAAACATAGACACATGACCACAATATAATAAAATCATGTGTTTAAGTATATTATTCTTCTTTCATTATCAGGAACAGATCATGTATGTAAAGAATATTTCCACTAAAAGAGCTTATGCATATCGATATCTTTTAAGATCAGTTGACGATTTGATTGGACCTTCAGTTCATGGCGTTTCTCAGCAGAAACAATTTATCCTTTTATAGGTTTAAGATCCATATAAATGATATTAACATTTTTTTACATAGAATTTTGTCATAACAGGTATACATAACATACATACGTGCGGTACGTATGTACATACATACGTAATTACTCTTAGAACGCAGAATTACTGTATATAATAAGTATAACACAATAAATATCTTGGTTACACCAAGGTCCTTTCGGATTTGCTATTGTGAGACACAAATCGTCGTACATTGGTTGCACAATACGTCCACCACATAAATCTGGATTGTCATTTCATCTCAAACAAAAAAAAAGACTGTTGTTTGCGTCAAAGCCAGCGAAAGGTACTTGCGGGGCTTCTTTTGAGGCTTATCTTTTTTTATTCTTTGTTTATTTTTATGTTAATTTTTATCTTTCCTGTTCTAAAAATGTTGAAATTTATTTTTTTCCACCTTTGGTTAAATTTTATTTTAATACTTGCAAATATTTTGTTTCGCTTTTGTTATACCACTTTAATCTCACAATGCCATACGAAATCTTTCACGATGTCTATCTTAAATAAAAAAAATAAAAAACTTTTTTTTTCTTTCATTAAATTAATTCATTAATTTTATAATTATTAATTTATTACTCGTAACAATAATAGGAGTCGACCTTAATTTTATGATCATGGACACCTCAGGATCTGACACCGATTTTACGACTATTAAAGATGATGATTCTGAACAAGAAATTAATACCAGATCAATCACTCCTAAAAAGAGGCGAACTAGATCTTTTTCTACCTCTGGAAGTTTAAGTGACGATTTGATTGATGAATCTCAACTTAGTTCTGTAGGAGGTTCAACTAGTGCTAGTGAATCAATAAAAATAAAAAAAGAAAAACCTACTCATGTACAGAAAAATAATAATAATAATAATAATAGACCTCCTGTGACCGTACGTAGAAAACCTGGTAGACCTCCAAAAAAGTTACTTGTAAAAACTAGTGATGTTGAAGGTGACGATGATGATGATTACCATCCACCTGGTCAATTTCAACGAATAAAAAAGCCACTCAGATCTCCTGTTAAACAACCTGTTCCTTCTCCAACGGGTAGAAAGCGTGGTAGACCTGCTGGAATCAAAAATAGGGTACAAGTCCAACGTCTCAATTATAATAATAACTTTACTGATGATCATGACTCTCAAATAATTCATAGACGTGGTCTAAATAAATTAAGTTTAATTGAAGAAAATGATGTATTTGCCAAAGATAATGCCGGTCAAACAAATTTACATCGTGCTTGTCAGGATGGAAGGTTAGATATGGTTAAAGCTTTGATAAATGGTGGTGCTGATGTCAACATTCAGGACAATGCCGGATTAACTCCGCTTCATGAAGCTGTGTCTGCTCATAATTATGAAATTGTAAAATATTTATTAGAAGCTGGTGCAAATCCAAATATTGGTGAATCAGAAAATGTAGATACTCCACTTCATGATGCTTGTAGTCTTGGTTACCGTGATATTGTTACTATTTTAATAGATTATGGTGCTGATCCCGATAAAACAAATGTAAATAACACTACTCCTAAAGATACTGCTAAAAGTAATATTTCGGAAAATTTACTAAGGTTGGTAAACCAAATTAAACTTCCAAATCGTTGTATAGTTCAACAAAATATTGATGCTAGAGCTGAAGAAGAGAGTAGGCGATTTTCTTCAGGAGAAACAGGTAATAATATTATGTACCTTTTTTTTTTTTATAAATTCGGATAATTCAATTATTTTCTATTTCTATTTATTTGATTTTATCTTTATTCTTTTTATTTTTTTTTTTATTTTTTTTTTTCAAAAAAAAAAATTCTCATTTATATATACGTCTTAAATCAGGCAATATTTTGCCACGTAAAGTTTCTGTAAATAATTCTAAACGTTCAACTAGAAATACTGGAAAGTATTATGATAGAAGCAGGCATGATAGAATACGAAATACTGGTGCTAGAGGAATCACTTCTTCCAATGAAGTATTGCGATTAGATCTTACGGTTGACTCTCGAACTGGTCGTAGTAGATTACATCATTATACAAAGTTAGGGCACGCTGAAGCTGTTGTTGGTTTATTAGAAATGAATGCACCTGTTGGATTAACTGATAAGGATAGGGGACGTACACCTTTACATGAAGCTGCTATAGAAGGTTATCATGATATTGTTGGCTTTTTACTTGCTTATAAAGCTGACATTAATGCTCAAGATAATTATGGAAATACCCCGCTTCACTATGCTTCTTTTTATGGTCATAGTGACGTTGTTAAATTACTCTTACATCACAAATGTATTCTTAATATAAAAAATAATGAAGGAAAAGAACCTTATGAAATGGCTCGTGGTAGAGAACATATTATACAATTACTTTGTCAAAATACGGATATTACTTCGGATAGTTCTATGGCTGATACAAATTATTCTGAGTCTGAAATGTCTCCGGTTTCTTGTGTTAATATGGAACTTACGTCTGAATTGGATCAAAAAGAAAAGAAACAATTATTAAATTCTGATTCGCAACCAATATTATATCATATTGAAGATCATCAAGATTCTTTCATACCTCCTCCATTTGAACAAATATATAATGAGGCTGATATTTCGGATCTAGATCAAGCTTATTCTGATAGTGATGAAGATAATTTTTCGCCTTCTTTCTCTGATAACGATGATCCTGTTTCTCAAGCCGGTCCAATATATGTGTTTCAATTTGATCCAAATATATATGGATATCCTATAGTTTCTTATGCTGGGAATGAAGATTCTCGTTTTATAATTGATATTCAAATTGAAAAATATCTTGCTTGGAATCGTGGTTCGTTGGCTAAAAAAATTGATCCTTCAATTACCAGACGATTAGTCACTACTCAAGAAAAAGGTTTACTTTGGCCATTGCTGAATGGTGAAATTTGGAAAGGTTCTTTACGCAGTCGTCCTGAAGAAATGGAAACAATTAAAGAAAAACGCAAGGAACGTTTTTTTAAATGGGAACTATATTTTATAAAGGTTCGTTAATCATATCTTTTTATATCGTTTTATCTATTTATAATTCTATAGTGGATTTTATTTCTTTTGTTCTTTAGTATCCTGAAATTCTCTCGATAATAAATACTCCGTGGCGAGAACGTGATATTGGTGAATTAGGCATATTTCCTGTTGATCTAGTTATTAATGGAGATTCTGACATATCGGAGTAATCTACGAACTATAATATATGTAATTAAAACATCGGTATGTTAGAATTGAATGTAGGGTTATGCCAATTTTCACATCAGGTGTTACTAGTTAAAATGGGGTTATATTTAAGAGATTTTCACAGCATTTGCTGATCATATTTATTTCTCGATAATTATAACAATAACGATAATCATGTTCATTCGCCTATTTTTCTCGATATCAACAATTTCGTAAAACACCAATTAATCAACAGTCGTGAAAATGTATGCTTCCCCTACCTTTCGTTATTAATTAAATACTTGAAATTAGATAATATTTAACAGTCGAAAAAGCAACACTAAGGAGAATATGGGTATACTTGTAATTGTTACTATTACTGCATTACAACTGCTAAAATAATATTTTGAATTGTGTGATGATAAATGATATGGACTCTAAAATTCACTGTACTTTAACTACCAATACGCTTTAAGAGTTGATTATTTTGCTAGTATACATAGAATTAATTTTTTGACAAGACTATTAAAAATTCTTTGACTATTTTTTAAGTCTATTTGAATTATTTGAACCTTGCATGCTTTTATTTCATTTATTAAAGTTACATGCTTGATTGGGGATTTTTATGCAATTAAAAAAATCAAACATTGTAATCTTTCAAATAGTCTTTAATATTTTATATTATCAAATACTTTCGAATAGTTCCAATCAATAGTTGTTCTCAACTGCTTGACTATATTTATTTGTAAATCAAGATTTTGGGCTTCAAATACTCCAAAAGTAATTTATGATATTATTGTTTTTGAAAAGGTATATAATAGAATGTATACATGCCTAGCTTATACATAAATAATATCTTAAGCAAAAAAAAAAAACGAAGGAAAGAACAAATTAAAATTATATATATAAGCTAGGATATGCAAAACCAAGGTTCAGCAATATCTTTTGCGATAGTAAAACACGCGATTCTTGTATTTTGCATTGGTGGTTATATAGAAATTAGCCTGAGCAATATGAATATCATAAAATAAATTTAATGACTAATAATTTGAATCCGTGAAGTATTAAGAATTTGGATTCTCTTACTTGAAGCAGTGGAATAACAAAGCAATCAAATATCCACCATATAATAGTTCGAATCTCTTATCAGCTTCGACTTTGTTATTTTTATTGCCTTTTAAAAAAACCAATTGCACTGCTTAATCTTAAATTTAATAATAGATAATATTTGGACTATGTACTTTGCAAAAATCTGATAATTTCAAGTTATGTATTTGTTTGCCAATAATTTGTCAATAATAAACAAAATAAAGTATTTTACTAGTACTAAGTTAGCAATTTAAATCATTTATTACAAGATTATTTCATTATCAACACTTTTAAATACCTAATAAATTTGTTAAATAATGATAATTTTCAAGGCTTTTATTATTTTTAAAATATTGATAATATATTGCTATATTAGCATTTCATTAGCATAATAATTGGCAAATATATTTATAAAATTAAATAATAGTAATAAAATGCTGATAAAGTGCTTAGAATTGCAAAAGTTGGTATTTTAATAATACATTATCAGCATCATTAAATTGCTTATTTTAGCAAGTTCAATTTTGATTGATTTTTGTAAAGTAGTAAGATACAGTATGTATACGTAAATATTTTGAATTCTTCAAAACATAGTGTAGCGATAGTTCTTCATAATACCTGCCTGTTAAGGATAAAAGTATAAATTTTTCGTATTTAATTAGTTGATTTTGTAACCGGAATGCTCTTCTACAATCACAGGGCAATAACGCTTAAGTAAGCTTGTATATCCACAAATTTTCTGTCGTAAAATAATTTGATTTATCATAGGCAGTACCCAAATCAAGTGAGAAGGTATATTAACATTAGATTTCTAAAAATAAATTTTATTATCAGTATTATATATTTAGTAAATATATTGGATTATTTATTCTTTTTTTTAAAAAAACCCCCCGAATCTCAGTAATGCGATTTTGATACAATTGAAATAACGATTGCATGCTTGGTTGCCCATTCTTGTCGTGATCAAACACGTTGTGAAAACCAACTTGCTTTGGAAAAATATGCTGAATGATGTCACTTGGCATTTTGTGTTATTTAAAAAATATTAATATACATAATCAATAAAACATCAGGTAATTATTTCTGCTTTTTAATTACTTACTATGTTTAGGCAATCCGAACCTGAAAAATCCATTAGCATTATAAGTTGTAGAGTGAAAAATATTTTAAATCTGTTAAATATAAACCAGATCCAAATTCTTTTGTGGTGTATATTTATCAATAACTTTCCTTCTTCCGATCTGAGATTATAATATGTGTGATGCTTTTGCAAAGTGCATCAATTAACACTTTTTTCTCACCAAAATTTAGTCGGTACATTTACCAACGAACGATAACACCCGCGAACAACAATGAAGACAAAAAAAAACTGATTAATATAATTTTTTTTTTTTTTTACAAAAAAAAAAAAAACTCATCTATATTTAAACAAAAAAAAAAAAACTTATCTTTATTTTATCTAATAAATTTTCTTAAGCTGATTTTGGCCGAATTTCTTATGGAAAATTCGTTCACCCGATCACCACATTGAGGTATCAGCAATAGATCGGGAAAAAATATATAGTTTTCATGTAAGAAAACACCAGATTAAGATTCCTCTTTATAAACCCAATGAATTTCTTGCATATAGCTATGTAGCAGTGAATTTAGTCTAAACCCCAATGAGGAATTGTTGCACTCAATGACGGGTTTTTTTTTGGTAAAACCACATTCAAACGTCCAATTAAAATAGAAAAAATAATTGTACTGAACAAAGAAGCCTTAAATCAAGTCCTCAAATTACATTCTTATCAGAGCACCCGCTCGCCTAGTTGGATTTACAACTTCAGAATAATAGCAGATAATACCAGAGCACCCGCTCGATTAGTGCAGAATACTGGATTTACAACTAATACCAAAGCACCTGCTCATCCAGTCGGGTGATTAGCGCTGAATACTGCAAACTGAAAAGACATCTTTGACGTAAAATGGTTAGGGTTATTTAGTGCAAATGTCTTGAAAGCTCAAAGGTTAGAAGATTGCACTGTAACATCCAATATCGGGCAAGATCAGAGTAATAGCAGATTTGCTTATCTGTTTACATATAAATTAGAGTAAAGTGGTTTATAAGAATACGATTTATGCAATATGTAGATCAATATATCAATATTTAGACACAAATCCCCAGTTTGGTGTATTGGAATATGATTGGCTAGTCAAACCTCGACTATCGATCAGTCAAGAAATTTAGAAGTTCACTTTCTTGCTATTAGTTTTTTTTTTTGACAATGTATTCGAAAAAAAGGTTTTGAGTGTTTATTATCCAAATATCTCCACCTTATATGAATTTCTTACTACGCATTGCGGCAACTAAATTAAAAGGGTGACGAAGAAGATTATACAAGTTTACTAAAAATCTCACTTATAAATGATACCAAATGATCCTTTCCATGTTACTTGTTAGGAAATGTTACGGAAAAAGAATATACAGAAGTATATTTTAGCTACTAAATTTGCTAAGTGAAGATAGTTCGTTAAAAAACTAATCTAAAATTTTACCGGTAGGTGGTTAATAATGCTATTATAGAACTTGTTAATGAAAAGACAGCCTCGAGCCGAAAAAAGCAACCCAACGTTTTATCGTTTATGTTAGTATAAAATTTTCAAACATGTATATTGTGTATAGAAGACATTTAAATATCAATTTGTCAACAATCCTTTATTGCAAACTGTGATTAGGTACCAAATCAATACGGTGTTATGGTAGAATACGAAAATTCATGCACAGATTATATTAGACGCTTACCAGCATTGAAAAAACTTTAGGTAAATATTCTGATCTGATTACAATAAAATAAACCCATAAAGTGTATAAGGTTGAATAGTATAGTATTTTGTAGGCTTGGTGAGAAAGCAATGACTTATTTATTTAAGAATACATCAATATTTATTTATCTTTCAATAATTCTTATCTTCAAGTAACCGGTAAGAAAGTACAACTTTTTAACTATAACAAATTATATGAAATTCATGATTAAATTTATTTGTCTGCAAGTAAAATGAATTTAGCGTATGTACGTAAGCATTACTATACTTATAAATAAAAAGTTCACGTGATTTTTCTATAGGGGCGCCCAAATATTTTAGTTATAGTCAGTTATACTTTATTTAACATTTATACTATTTCTCTTAACACTTGTATATCTGAGCAGAATTAATAGTTATTCAAAGAACTAATATTTTAACTTGAACTATTATTTCTACTAGAACTGATTAGAGCTATCGCTATTAGCACTAGTAGCATTAGTAGCATTCTTGGCATTAGTGCTATACGGCACATGATATCAAATTACAGGGGTTAACAGCAACAATTTACATTTGGATGATTTAATCAATATAAGAAAATTGAAAACTGCTCATTAGTCATGATTCCCACAAAATAACTACCGTAATTCACAAAATAACGGATGTGTCAATATGATCACGTAGACCAATCCAAGATTAGCTTTTGTGGTTGTTGAAAGATGAGAAATGGCACCTGAATAGGTGTGTCGGCATCTTGGAATATGAATTACTCAAAAATATCATCACGGCGGATTGGTGGAATTTGAAATACCCAATCTAATTAAATTTGGGACTTAAATAGAAGGCAAATTCCGGTAATTATTAGAAAATTAACGCTTAACGTCAAAGGCAAAAAAAATTCTAATACAGATATAGTACACATTATTGTATGTCATAAGGTAAAAAAAAAATTCCAGCATTAAAGCTTTAGAGATATGGCTGAATATTGTCTATAAGTGCATAGTGTTGATAATTTATTATCACCATGAACTTTAATTGTGATGTAAGCTACATTTTTTTATGAACGATACTATTACGATTTATTATGTAATAATGGAGAGTCATCGAGTGATTCTTTAGTGGAGTAATACTACATTATTTGATAGTAAAGAGATTACATAATTTTAATGGAAACAATCAATAGGGATATGTAAGCGATTTTTATTTTTGCAAGGAGCCTTACGTAAAATAATCATATATATTATTTAATTTTAATAAAACTGTATTTCACCGTATGATTTAACGTTAAATTATATAAACTGTAAGCCTCACCAAGCTAGGGCTTGGATGTACTAAACAAATACGCATATATATGCACTGACTGTTAAGTATGTGCGTATTAACCTTGCGTGAAATTCTAATTTACAAGCAAAGATGGGAAAGCTTGCCATGAGAATCTTAAGAATTATTGCAGTGACATTCATAAGCATATATTTAATATGTGCATTTGTTTGTCCAGTACTGGGTAATTATTATTTTGGCGTCTATCAAAAAAAAAAAAAGATTTAATGAATAGTTCATTTTCAGAAATCGCCAAACTTAAATTATTTTCAAAGCTTGGAAGTCCATATCAATTAACTATTCCAATGGAATACGCGTAAATAACTTTAATAACATTAAATCCTTTTACAATTTGAAGTTTATTTTTTAAAGCAATTCTTAAAAAAAATTTTCTTAATTTAGTTATTTGATGGTATCTCTTATTCTACCAAGTAGGCATTGCACGTTTCATAATGTTTAATTCATAGATATTTTATCCCATAACCATAAATTAGCTAATAATTCTTTTATGTTTAAAAGCCTGGATTATTTTCTCATCGGTTTTTAACTTTTGTTATAAACCTGATCTATCGCCACAGGGAATAGAATTAAAATTACTGTAATTTAGAATTTAGAAATGAAAATTTATGTAAATTTGTATATTAAAATTATAAATTTTAATTTATAAATTATTTTTTTAGGGCCTGGACTTTGTTGTGGTTATCTATCTCAGGTATATAGATATATATATTTCTTTTTTTCAAATTACATATAATAATTATAATTTTATTCTGATCAGTTTTGACTGAATTATATATAATTTTTCATTGCTAACTTCAATTTCTCAACTCTTGACATATTTGAAAATTCAGTATTTTATACATTATTCACACGTGATGACATCGGAGGGGAACCATTCTATTGTCCATCAAATATACCTTATAATTCTACAGAATTTTATATAGCCTGCAAGATTCGTGCTGCAAATTTTATTGCTATGTGGTCTTTTGCTATCTTGGCTATAATATTAATGATAACTATTCCTGCTGGACTTTTTCCACGTGATGAGATTGAACGTGAAATGACTAAAGATATACCAATTGATGTTTTAGGTTTATGGACGAATTGTGATCCGGAATATCCTGAACTTAAAGAGAAGCCACCGACAACTGTCAAAATTTGATATAAAGTATATATATCAATATATTTGCAATAAATACATAAAGAGATAGGCGTGTATATTATATTCACGGAAATGTCCCAATGTTATACGTATGCAATTATTCATTTTATATATCTGTTTATTTTATATAAGGTATTGATAAATTACTTTGATGTTGTAATTGCATATTTGCTTATTTTATACGTATAAAAAAAAAACTCTAGCTGTATTTATAAGGTTAGTACTATTTATTATGGGAAAGTGCATTAAAAGTTACGTAATAAGGAAAAGGGCTGTTCCTCGTGGTAAAGTTTATCTAAGTAAACCAACTATCCTTGAATAACGTTAAGGAGTTTTTTTTTAATTGTTAACTAATGAAAGAATTGTACGTGATCTTTTCCAAACAAATTAATTTGTAATTACTTTGAGTAGTATATAAAATATACGCTCACATCCTAAAATCAATCTAAAATTTCTAGATTTAGTATACAAATCTATAATAATAACAATTAAAGTAAGTTCAGAACGAATAAAACCAAAAAAATACATAAATATTTTATGTTAAATTCATGAATACAGATATACACTTTTCACTTAATATACAAGTAAACAACAAAATCTTCATTAAATATACTACAATTCTTAGTAATTATCTGTTAACCCAATAGGTGACCAGAAAAATCCGGCCATTAATACCAAATAAGATAAAACCAAAATCGATCCTTTGAAATAATTTGATTTCCCTTCAATATATGTGTAAGATACTAAGATCACTGACAAAACCACTGAAAATACATCCCATCTCGGAAATACTAGGCTGAATTATACGAATAAAAATATTAATAATAATAATATTATTATTATTATAAATGTTCATAATAGAAAATCAAGTATAGTTGTGAGAAAATAACTTACGTAAATGTATGATTCACTTGGTGTACCGGATCAGTATTCCTATTGTAATATTCTGAAAATGCAACCATTGCTGGAATTTGTAATAAACAAACTTGTAATGCATATGCAGAACCAATTTCCATGCTATAATTCAAAATATAAATGAATAACTGTTAATATTTAACATTTTTTATATATTTAAGGTAACTATCATACCTAAGTGCGATATTTCCATTCATTGCAAATCCCATTGCATTCACAAACTCTGTGAATGTTGGAACTATTGCAAATAGTGTTAACCCTAGAAGCTTTTTATCATCGGATTTAGACAAAACTTCAACATTGCTTATTAACATTTCTAAATAACCAAATTTAATAAATTTAATTTAGGGTTTAAATATTTGGAATTAATAATGTAATTGATAATAGAATTGGCTTCCTTTTTTTTTTTTTTTACCTGCTATAAGCGTGTATAAAACTGTACATGTTATTAACACAACTACACTCTTCGTTTTGCTCCAATTTGGTGAATCATGTCCAATTGCTTCTTCCTCCGATTCATACTCAGGTCTCAATTGTTGATTTTCTGCTAAAGTTACTGCTGCTGCAATTGTATCCAAATGAATGTTGTGATCGGTTAAAGGTGGATTCTGACTAATATCAGTATTTGGGTCATGTTCTGACACAGAACGAACGGTAGGGGTAGTACCATTTTGTGATGAATGTGGCAGTATTTGTTGTAATATATGAAGGGGAACAAGTCGTCTGTAGATGGATTGTTCAGATTCTGGTGCATTATGACCGGATTGCCACATTAAAGCAGCATGAGTGTGTAAAGTGAACCATAGACCAATAGCATATGACTGGTTAAAAATAATTAATTTGATTAATAAAATTATGACTTGAGAATTTCTGTTTTAGTTTAAATTAGCATTTAAAGATTACCAGAAGCAAGATAGTTGCACAGAAATACATCAACGGCTTAACGTAGTGAAGATATAATTTCGTTTCTATAGGATCGATTTGAGTATGCTGACATATTTGACAATAGGATTCATTAGAACTCTCACAGACTTCAGTTCTACAAGTCATTCGATACTAAAACATTATGTAAGACATCTTAATAAATGACAGAAAAAACAGATAATTTAACTTTAAAAAAAATAACAGATATACACCGGAGCAAAAGTTTGATAAAATAGAGTAGGTGTAAGAGCTCCAATAATCGCCATAATAAGCATTGTTGAAGTTACACCTATACAATAGAGTGAATAAATCACAATATATCTAAAAAAAAAACTCAGCAGTCTATATAAAGAAACATACCTGCACTCTTAGCATTAAATTTTTGCTCTTTGCGTTTCAATCCTCCACTAATCATGCTCAAACCAGGCAGAAGGAGTACACCACACAATAAGCTCCCGATAATACTGCCTTCGGCAAGTTTACCTTCTCCTTGAGTCAATGCAATTGAATATAAAATGATTTCTATAATACTACCAAAAGTAGCATTGACTACAGCACCAAGACCAGCTGAGGATTGTGCAGAAATAGATGCTACTGCCATCCCAATAAAATAAGAAAGAGGTACTACAGAAACGAGTGCAATAGAGAAGATAAAACCAGCTGAAGTTATGATATGGTTCTCTGGATCAGATGTCATTTCACTAATTATATAATTATCGATTATTGCAAATACAACAATAGGCATGAGATTAATAAATATAATGTTAACACCATCATATGTATACTTATAATATAGGCCAATTGCCTTATATGTACACAATAAAATCGAGGATCGGTTGGAAGATGAAGACATTGATGATCCAGATTTAAAATGTATTAAAAGTGGGTGCTTTCGTAAATGTCTTGAAACTACATAAGTGAGCTTTGCCATTGGAATGGCAATAACGGAGAACCAGCATAAGGCGGAAACAATAAGGAATAGAGGTGCTATAATTAAAATGAATTATAAATTGTACACAAATTATTCGATAATAAAAAACTATTTGTTAATAATTAAGTATCCATTATTATACTTACCAATAACTAAAAAATACCAAAAATAAAAAACGAATTCTGCTATTCCAAATCCAAAACATTCATGTTTCTCGCGTTCAAACCGTCGAATATATCCGGAGCTTGTCCTACGTCCCAATAATGGGTTATTACTTTCAATATCTATTCCATTACCATTACCTATTACCGAATCACTATCATGATGATCAGAGTGATTCATACTAACGCTGTACTCATCATTTTCCTCAGTCCATTCGTCAATTTTTTCAACGTATTTCCCGAAAGGCCATAATATGTAGTAACTTAACTCTCTTAAAACAAGTGCATATCTCTCGCCACCACATGGTGTTATAGACAAAAACAATGAAACAATAAATGAAACAAGTGCTAACTCCCATCCAAATACTATGGCCCATACTATATTTCCAGGATACATATATAATTCCGCCGTTGGTGTCGAATGTAAGGCGGAATTAGCATCTCGGATTACAGACCGAGATTTTTTATATAAGGCAGATTTCCATATTGGCATACCAAATGGATGCATAGTATTGATTACCTAGTATATATTACGTATTAAGTATTACGTATTACGTATGAATACGTATATTTAATGTTCATGATTCAAAATTTAAATTTCTTACCTCTTGTCTGTCCTTGATCGTAAGTTCACGATCACTATCAGAATCATTTGGATCATTGTTTCCATCGTCGTTACCAGTATCCTCTTCATTACCATTGTCTATATCTTCCGATCTCATTCTATATGATGACACCCTTTTTTTTAAGCCCTTTCTCTTGGCCCGTTTTTTGGAATTCTTAGAATCATCGGAATCTTCATCAGAATCTTCGGACTCTTCAGAAGGTACAAATGAAGATTTACGTCTGCTTAACTTTGGAGGTGAGCTTGCACTAGCATTAGACGAAGTTGGACGAGATCGATATGGACGATGACTGGCACCTGGCGTTTCGGGAATTAAAACCCGTGCTGAGGGCGTAAGAAGCGGTTGGTCCCCACTCTGTTCATGGAATGGAAAGCCAGGCTCATTTTGCCTGACGGATGCAGATTCTCTTGGATTAGGGGACTGATTTTCTTGCGACATTTAGAGTCATTTAGAATCATTTAAGGGTGAATGAGTTTTTACGTCAGTTTAATTACATCAGATCAGTTACACAGATAACGCCAAACTATATTTGTCATGTGGGGTTAACCAGTACTCCACTATAAATTATATATCGATATCAAAAAAATTTTTTTTTTAATCTGGTGTAGCAAACATTAGAAAAGGACCACGATCAAAAGACTGAAATAAAATTTGGAGCAAAAATAAATCAAGTTGGAATCCTTTTCTTTTCACTTCAATTTCAATTCGAAAACAAATTTATAGTTTTGTATTATCGATATAGTTTTTTTTTCGATCATTATACATACCGTAAAAGCCCGAAATAACGGGCATGAACGTTATGAACGTTATTTCGAAAATCGATCCTCTTAAAATGGATATTTTGTCGCCATGGGCGTCCCGAAATAACGCCTCATACAATATTGTATATAGTAGAAAATCACGATAGCCACAGAAATCGGCTTTTTACGTATAGCGCGCAGGTGGTCAGAATAACTCAATTCTCTGATTGCAATTACTTCCTTGAAACCTATGTTGCCTCAACATTTTCACTTCTCACCATGTTAACTTTGTTAAAATGAGCAAATAAAATAAAATCTAAATTAACACAAATAAAGAAAAAAAATACAGTAAATATTCATGAACTTAATTCGCTTATTTTAAACATATTACTTTAAACTAATTAATGTAGTCAATGCTCACCTAATTTAACGCGAATAAAATGAAATTAACAAATATTTTTTCGCTCGATTATACGCAGGGTTGAACTGGGATGTTATGCTAAATTACCATATAGTATCGCGTCACATATAATAACTCTCGTGCCCATGTGAAGATTTTAAATCGCACCCTGACACCTTGTGCAGATCAACCCAATCAAATTTCGAGATCGGGTGGAACGTAACACGATCGGGAAAAAAGTTTATTATTATCGGTTATAACTGCCTTTTATGTTCTAACAAAAAAAAAGCAAAAAAAAAATTCCTTCGATAATTATCGCTATGTATTAAAGTGCCTAGCGCCTAACACAAACGCTAATCCTAACATATTTAAAGAATTTGTTCTAGCATCACGTGACAACAAAATTTTGAGACCATTGGAAAAATATGGACGACCAGTGGAGCTCCAAATTCCAGTCACCAACACAGATCCATGAGTATCTGCAAAATTCATCGGAATGTCGAGAATTATTTCAAGCCTGGGACCAGCAGATAGAAGTCATTATCTAATTAATATCATATTTTAATATCTCGGAAAATTGTCTAATAATATGCTTCTTTACAGAAAAATATCGCAAAACCTGAAGTCCCTATACTAGATTTGTTTGCCAAAATTATTCAACATACTACAAATACACCATCATTAAGATCCACTGGGACGATAATAATTCGTAATATTTTGAGAAATTATATGAAACCAATTATTCGAAATTTGTCATCTGATCAATATCCTTTATGTCAAGCGACTTTGAGGTTATTGATAGTAATAAATTCTCATGATATCACAACAACAAGAGAATTGCAAGAAACTTTTCCATATGGTCTTAAGGTATATTCATTTTGGAAAAACTTAACTTTCAGTAGAGTTATATGTAAATAATTTTTTACGGAATTTAGGCACTCGGTAGATTATTGAACATAAGAAAAAATGATTCAAATAACCAAAAATTACGTTCAAAAGATGGTAAACTCTGTGTTTCTTAATTGTTATTTTACATTAATTTATACTAAATCATTGATTTCCTTTTTATGTAGATATTCGTACTCTATATATTCGTTTTATTTTGACATTCTTAACACATGGAGATTCTAAAGTGAGATCTTATGTTTTGGAAACAAAAAATTTTGCAAATGCAATTTTCAAGGGGCTATCTGGCGATCCGTATGAGGTAAAAAAAAAATTTAGTCAAAGATAACTTTATAATGATTCTTATAAAATTTTCATTATTGTATATATTATTAGCTTGTGGATGAGGTGTTGAAAACATTCCATGATTTCGTCATAGTTGACAATCAAATCAGTCGAAAAACAAAAGCATCTTTTTTCAATACTGGGATGTTAAATCATGTAAATAGACAGTATCAAACGTAACATATAGATTATTTTAGCATAATTTTATCAAATAATAATGATCAAAAAATGTTAGCTTTTACGGCTTTATTCTAGAAACGATTTTGAACCACCAGATTCTGACAAGAACGTCGCAGATGTTGTTCACAAATTTCTGTTATCAATTTGCTGTGTACCAGGAGTAGGGATCTGTTTCCGTGATGCAGGATGGTATTCTTATAGTTCACCGAGGTCTTCTATAAATGGCACTGACAAATCTAAAGATAGTGGCAAAGTTAAATTGAATAATATTATATTGTCTTCCTTTATTAAGTCTCTGAAACCAACTCAAGATTTAAAGCAGCAAGAATTGTTGTTGAAAATTTTGGAAGCATGTCCAGAGCTAATTCATATGTAAGTTTAATTAACAATAATTATCCTTTTTTTGAAAGCTAGACTAATTATTACTTCTAATATTATAGAATTTGGCAAGATAAAAATATTTCTTTTGAGCCTTACCTTTCTTACAGATGGATTGCAAATATGGCACTTCTTCATAAGATAATATCACTACCTGTTCCATTGCTTTATTCTCCAGATACGAATGTTTATCCTGAAATACCTCCTGAGATTACTTCGGTAATGGATAATATACTTCCCCGAGTTTTTGATCGGTCGATCTTAAACAAATGCCTGAATCATCAAAGCCCATTAGTTAAGTACAAGACGATCATAACATTGTCTGTAATGTTTCAAAAGTTGGACAAGGTTAAGCAAGCTTTTGATGAAGCAGCTCGTTGCTTGGATGCTTCATTAAATGGATCATCTAGTGAAAAAAATCCATCTGCTAGATGGATCCAAACAATTAATTCTATATTTGAGGAGATAAAACGTAAAGTTCCTGACATTCAGGTTCTTCTTAGAATTTATCATCAAACTTCTGCATATGAACAAAAGTTATTACCTGACCTAATGTCTAATGAAGTAACTGAAGAATATACAAGAAATAGCATGATGCATGAAGTAATTCTGAAATTGATAAAATATTATCACCAATTTTTACCAGAAGCAGTTATGGAATCTAAATTTGACGTAGGCAAATTTATTCCTACAAATCTAGAGGAAATTCAGCCAACAGTGCAATTGCATTTATTGGAATTGTTATTAAGTTCTGATTTTAATTTGGCAAATAAACCAGGTAAATAAAATAGCAAAATAAAATTGTATTTTGATTATTTGGAAAATTGGGTTCGCCTTATTTACATATTTTTTCTTACGTAGAAAATAATCGGTTGACTATTCTGTTGAAGTTGTATTCACATACACCACACCCACAAATATATTCCAGTATTCGACGAGTGCTTATACACCTGCTTTCTAAATCACTTGCTTTTCAGCATGACCCTAGCGAGGCTATAATTTGGTTGGAATCTTTACCACACATAGTTTCTGTGAATAAAATTGTTCAAGAACTCCCTGAATCGGATTTGGTCTTGCAATTTCTTGATGAATCTATTTCAATCTTTTTTAAGGATCCATTTCCTTATATTGATGAACTATCTCAAATTATCAATGATGTTAACTCGGATGTACTGCAGATTGATATCATGGAGGTTGATGAGTTGCGGATTGCCAAAGACATTAGCATAGATTTCGCAGAAAAACTCTGCAAGATTTATTATGGCTCAAAAGACATACCTTTTTCATATCCGTTCAGTCCGCTACTGGCGGTTATTATGAAACAATATCAGAATATGAAACCCATTACTGTTGAAGTCACCTCGTTTCTTCACAAACTATTTAAAAATTTACTGAATAAACAAATTTCTGCATCATATTTGTATGTTTATGTAAGACGATTAAATAAAGTAATTGGCAGTTCTTTGGATAATCTGGGCCAAAAGAACCATTGGAATGCTAAGGACTATATTGATGAGTTAGAAACTTATTTTCAACAATTTTATTCACGTAATATTAAATGGAATAATCATCAAAGCGAATATCGAAAAATGATTGAAGGTAACTTTATTTAAATATTAGGATATTAGGAATTTTTACCTATATAGTAAATTTATTTAAATTATATAATTCTTTAGATTCAAATCCTAGCAATTTAGATTTGGCCAGGATCAAATTCCTTGAATTGATATATAATATCCCACCACCAATCTTGAATTATCTTACTGAGACAGAGCTGTCTCAACTTTTGGATTGTATTTTAAATGTCAACATTGTTGATGCCTTATATTTATTAGATGAGAATCCTATCAGGCGTTACATGACATTCTTGTCGCTTGTGTCCAATAACTTTATGAGACTTGGTTCGAGAACGCATATTACAGATAATTGTTTTAAAAAATTGCTGTATATATGGCAAAAGCAACCTACTCTTGAGTTAGATACAGTACTATTGCAGTTTATTGAGGCTTATATGCCTCCTGGTCTAATAGATATCGAGAATACGAAATATTTTCAATTTACAGAAATGCCAAATCACTTTTTATTGGTCAAAAGTATTGATTCGAGTGTTGTGCGATTCATTCTTGATAATATGAACACTCTTAAAGCAAAGATATTGTCTTGCCTCATTATCTGTAGTCCTGAGATTCGATTGGAATTTGTTAATTTGATTTTGCTTAACCCACAATTATTAGTATCAATTTCTCTAAAACAAATTATAATTATTGTTTCAGCATTTATTGACGTTGTATCATCAAAAACACATTCAAAAATCGATTGGTCACCAGTTGCGACCGAAAATGATAAGAAAGCTACCAAAACGATATCAGACAAATGTGCACATCGGTTCTTTCGCAATATAACGACTTCTTACACAGACAAGTTACCGTCAATTTATGCCAATGTTGTTTGTGCATTGATGAGTCTGAGTCCATCAATAGAGTTAATGGAGACTTTGAAATTTTCTATTCAAAATGGATCTTTCGACTTATTCAGTTTGGATTATTTGAGTATAATTGAATTTCACTTAGAAATTCATATTAATGATTATGATGAACAGGATCTTAAAACATTTATTTCTAGTTGTCTTCATCAAGCGACTTTATTTATGGAAAAGGACATTTTCAAAAATTATAGTAATGAAGCATTGAAAGCCATTTTTAACAAAATTGGTAATATAACATTTATTTAATATAACATTTTGTTTGATTGTAATAAAACATTAAACCATGATACTATGTTTATATATCCAGACGATTTGATAAGATTTGTTCCAAAGTCAACTAGCCTAGATGCAAACATTATCGGAGAGTTCATTTTCGTTCTTTTAGAAAAAAAAATTGATGAACCAACAATTTTAAGGTGTATAACATCGTTAATTGTTGCTGCATACAATAAAGAGGTAATTATAAGAATTTCTCTTGCTCAAATATAAAATAGCAATAATAATTTACTTATTATTCATATAGACAGTATTTGGACCTTCTTTGGACAAAGTTGTTGAAGCCATCATCAATAATCCGCAATTTAAAGCATTATGTAGTGCACCAGAGTTATCACAAAAGGCTGACAAATCGCCAAAATTCCTATGTAGATTAGCAATAAATAATCTATTGAATACGGTGTTTCGAATCCATCCTAAAACATGTTGTAAACCTTCGTATTTGAATGTCCTCTTGTCATGCTATGGTGCATCCACTTCACTTGCTGATCAATTGCTCCTTGACATATTCATATTGTATGAGAAGTCATCTAGTACTTCGATTGTATCCAGTGCAATGATGTGGGGTCCTGGGGCAATCCGCCAATTCGATAGACGAGGCTTGATGGGACAAAGAATTCTTGTTGAATCATTAGATTTAATAGATCCCATGATAATGATGCGAAGTTATACTCACTTTCCAATTGATAAAGAATTGGAAGTGCCCTTGAGTTTAATAGAAACTATAAGTTGCTTGAAAAGTGGTCTAACTGAGGATTCTATTAAGTGGGAAAAAGATTTACCAGTATACGATCCATCATATTTCTTACCATTATTTTCAAATTTGTTATCGTATGGAAATTTATTGGATATCAGAAGGTTTATTGAAATCAATGCGTTAGGATTTATTGTCGTTTCATTATCATCTACTGTGGAAAATGTGAGAAGAGCAGGTTATTATTTGATGGATGAAATTTACAGTTTATTGGAGGTAAACTTTGTTATTTAATGATTTAAAATATTTCATCATGCCGAAAGATTAAATGATTTACCTATTCCATTACAGCATGCTGCCTTTCGGGAAAAGAGTCAGATATTGTTGTTGCTTAATTCATTGAAGAATTCAATTGTGGATCGTGATAATGAAAATAAACCACTTCAACGAATTCCTACAATTATTTCTGTATTTATTGCACATGCATTGAATGTTTTCACGAATCCTGCCCATTTCATGTATCCTATAATTAATAAGTTTTTGTTACAAAGACCAATATTGGATTTAGAGGTAAGAATGCATTGAAATTTAGATTCACATCAGTTGCAGCCATTTTTCTTATATGGATATTTGATAAATATAGGATGTGCCGATGTTTTATAGTCTATTTCATACGTCTTCCAAGAATTATCAAAAAGAAAGAGTATGGATTTTGAGACTTTTATCTGCTGGATTAAAGACTCATGAAGTATTTTTTTTTTTGATTTATAATGTTATAATTTTATTTGTGTTTGTAATGTTATAATTTAATTTGTGTTTATAATATTACTTATCCATTTGTCCATTCATTAGGATTATAAGATCTTTAGAAGAAGATATGTATGGGATGTTATTTCTAGTTATTATAACTCACCTCTTGCTGACAATATTAGTCGTAAACTTATCATTGAGGTAAGAATTTAGAAGATTTATAGGTTAAAAAAAAAAAAGTGAATTAACTTATTACATGTGAATTAACTTATTACATGTGAATTAACTTATTACAATTTGATTCATTAACAATAAAATATCCGTTAATAGATACTATTCCAATCAGCATCCATTCCACAAGCTGTCACTGATATGGTCAAAAACCGAGGACTTTTAACGTGGCTACAGCATTTATGTTTTGTATTGCCACATTCATTGGTGAATGAACAAACATTTTTTGGAATACGAATACTACTTAGGGTATTGCAAGGTTGTAAGAATTCAACATTGCAATGGTCAAAAGATGTTCTGATATATCAAGCCATACTTATTGTGACTAATGCGTTAAAATCCTTCGGTATGATTTCATTCATGGTTTTTTAGCCAATTAATGCGTGTTTAATTGAAGGTTTTTAACTCTGATGCCTTATTTTTAGACTTATATATGGTGAAAGAAGAGACGATTTCATGGATACTTAATTACCTTAACGCGATTATTCGAACTTTTCACTACCTTATGTTAATTTCATCGACTACTAATCGGATTTTCACACCGTATCATATATCGTGTATTTTCTCACTACTTGAAAAATGTGAAATACATCTCAAATCAAAACTTAACACTGACGAAGCACCAAGCCATCCCATAAATATAGTTCATAATTTATATCCTTCACTAGAAGATAATTTAGAAGGACTATACATGCTTGATTTTAATTTAATCAGAGTTTATAAACAAATTATAAGAATGTTGTTTGAAATGGTGATTAGTAGCGGTGGACATGATATAGAAGTAGTGAATAAGATTGTTTATAGAGCATTGTCTATGGGTGTTTCAACTGAAGCGAAAGTATGGGCGATCGCGTGTATGGCTGAGTGTATACGCTAAATCATTTCTTTCATCATGAAAAGATTTAAACAAGATTGGATGCCCATTCATAAATACGAGAATGGTTAACTATATATCAAATATTGTTACACGAGTTTTTTATATTATTTTACAATAGAAAATTTTAATTTAAAGTATCAATATTGAATTTTTATAATTAAAGTCTCCTGAAATTTTGCAAGATGGTTTTTTGGACGCTTAACTTTCATATAAAAGTTCGGGATCAGGTGAGATTAAGTGTTCTACCAACTTTCATTAGAAATAATATTATGTATGTTTTGACTTTTGAAGAGTAACGACTAATTTTTTTCTGGATAAATGTTTTTAATTTCACGTAAACAATATCAAAAATAAATTATTTCACAAATATCTGAAATCCTTTGAAATACTGAAATAACAACAATATTTTTTTAATCTATGCCACTTGGGTTGGTACTAAGTTGGGGGTATAGTTGGGGGCACGGCAAATTTTTGAGATATGCCCTATAGATATATCAATTACAGTCAACTCCCTCTAAATGCATGTTCTTTAAATGATCCTTCTTATAACTTAAATTAATAGCAAAAACTTAACCGTAATCTAGCAGTGAAATTTTTTTTGGAGAAATTTTTTAGGTTGGTAACGCCTAGGACACTTTTTTCAACCACACTTTTTTTACCTGCAGACAGTAGGTGAAGGCTTTAACTAGACAATAATTAAAATTGTATGTGCGGTTTGCTGTACCTTCATTGTCTTCATTGATATGTTGAATGTATACTCCCTGTAATAAGACGAATAATATATTAAATAAACTTCGACCATAATAGTCTCTTTAAAAAACGTTACATTACTTTATAAGAATGACTAATATTCGGATTGATTTTCTTAGTAAAGCCTTTATTGTGTTTGATAGTTTTGTATAATTGAAATAAAAAATAATAAAATTAAAAATTAATAGAGAATATAATCTTAAATAACTTATGTTTATAAATTCGGATCAATTAATTGATTATTTAAAAATGATTCTAATTGCGAATCTTTTATTAATCAAATATGTTTTTTTCAAAATAGCTAGGATACCAATTATAAATACAAAATGTACATATACTTTAAAACACAGCAAATAACAGATTTTTTGATTCTATTACATATTAAGAATATCCAATATATTTCCAAATTATTTTTCATCAAAGTAGTTCTGAATTCACAATATTAAACTCATTTATTTTTTAACTTAGATGTGCTAGACCTTTTAGATAAAAAATCATAAAATGCCTTTTGCGGTAGTTCAATGTTTCCTAGTTTAGCAATAAAAATATTAAAAAAAAATGAATTATATAGAAAACGAATGCAATTCGAAAGTTAATACCGATCATCTTCATCCTCTTCTTTCCTTCTTTTTGCTTCTCAAGTAATTTCATTTTCCTGGTTACATCTCCTCCATACTGTATGTTTATTCAATTTGTCCGGATTACTTAATTCTTATATCCAGGGTAGCGAATATTGCAAACTCTTAACTTATAATACTTACAACTTTAGCAGTTACATTTTTTCGCATTGCGGATATCCTACAGTATTCATTATTATTTTTAAATAATTCCTAAGCAACATGAAACACTAAATAACTTGAGTTACTAACGTTTCCCTAGCCACAACCTTTCCACCAACAGCTGTTTGAATTACTACTTCGTATAATTGCCTTTTTTATGAAGATTTTCAATAAACAATTTAGTTTCTGTCTCCAGATCTATTAGGTGGTTTTTTTTAAAAAAAAAATTACTTGGGTATAACTTCGCTCAATTTTTTTGTCCATTCCTTCCCAACCGATGATACTTGAGAACGGTGCAAGATTGCAGAAAGTGCATCTACTGGCTTTTTGTTTATCAAGACATTCATCTGGTTTCGTACCAAATGATAGCTATCAATATATTATGCTACAAACTTTAATAAATGATAAAGCCTAACCTTCACAATATCAGACTGTTGATATCCCATGTCTTCATAATCAAAACTATGATTAAAATATAAATTAATTGCTATAATTTCATGTGCCTCCAATTAAACAAAATTGAAATACCTCGCATAACCACTCGATCTTGATTTCAAAGCATCATGAAAATCAGTTACAATTTCAGCTAATGGCATAGAATATCTCATAATAACTCGTGTCTCGTCTAAGTAGTTATACTCTGATTGTTCACCCCTACGGGACTACGTTTATATATTTACAAATTTAAGACAATTATTTAAGATATTCTTTTGTAAAAAAAATAATATTGCTCTACAGTAAATCAATTTGTTTTTATTGCAATGCGTACACCACAAAGATCCATTATTGAACCAGTATATTCCTAGAGATAAATAACTTATTAATATGAGATATTCAGAAAGTGTAAATATAATATAATAAGATTATAATATAATATAAATCACCTCCGGAGCAATAACGGTCACCATCACCATTGGTTCATGTAGTTCAACTATTTTATGTGACATTTCGTTTGGTTCAGGAAATTCTGATGGATTGCGGATTAATTTTGATGTACCATCTCGATAAATGACTAATCAATGAAATTAAATTTAAGTTTCTATACGTCTGATATATTTGCAAAAAAAAAAAAAAATCTCAAAAGAAACATTTGCAAACTTTTATAAGGTACAGTTGGTTGAGTGATGATGACATTAGCGTCATATTCCTAGTATATACAAATGTTCATCATGATTTATTAAGATTATCCACAAAGCACTACGTCAAAATAGATAAAGTGATTGGCATTTACCTCCTCTAGCCTTTGCTGAAAAACATCCATATGCAATGTTCCTAAAAATCCAATACGCCAGCCTTGTCCTAATGCTATGCTAATTTATTATAGTAATTGAAATGATTAGAAAATGATTAGATGTTTGAATAAATTGTAATTCACATATATATACCTAGTCTCTTTCTGGACTGACACACTAGCATCATTCAACGTTAATTTTGCAATAGATTCATCCAGCTTAGTGAATTCATTGGTATCTATTGGAAATATACCCGCAAATACCTAAACTTACCAAAAGAAATTTGTAGTTATATATTCTTGTAAATTTTGTGCAAAATCCAGCAACATAGAATTATTACCATTGGTTTGGCTGGTTCAAATCCTGGTAAAGGATCAACAGGACTTTTAAAATGATAAAATGTATCTCCAATATGTGCTTCAGTTGCTACTTTCATATTGCATATCACATATCCCACTTGACCAGCATGTCTTATTTCAACATAATCACATTAAAATATGAATCTATAATCGTATTAATTAAAAAATGAACATTCAATGCGTACAGATATCCTGTTGGTACTTGTTCTGGATGCATAATTCCAATATCAGCAATTTCATATTTTTGTCCTGAATATGCCGAGACAATTTTATCGCCTACAACATCAATAAAAGATATTAATATAAGAAAAATATTTTCAAAGCATTTTAGATGCGAACGTACTGCTTACAACAGACCTTTTTGTAATTTTCCATTTACTATTGCCATTAAGCAAACAACACCAACATATGTATCGTACCAAGAGTCAAAAAGAAGTGCTTTCAAAGGTTCGTTTACATCTCCAGTCGGACTATGAATTTAAAATTAAAAAAATTACTTTATTCAAAATAACATTATGAGACAATCTTAATATACAAATAAATTCGAAACATATTAAATTACTGAGGAATTTTTTCTATCACGTTTGGCAAAATTTTTTCGACATTAAGACCAGTTTTCGCTGATATCTAGAAAAATAAGAATTAAAATTTTCATTTATAATTTAAATTAGAAACACGAATACAAATAAAATAAATGCTAATATCTAACCAATGCAATATTTGCAGTGTCAAGTTCAAATGTACTTTGGATTTGTTTTGTTACTCGTTCTGTGTCTGCAGCTGGAAGGTCAATCTATATAAAATAATAATGAATTTTGGTTGTTTTTATTTTCTGAAAATGATATTCAAAAAAAAAAACCTTATTAACAACAGGGATTATGCTCAATTCTTGGTTGTATGCTAGCCAGAAGTTGGCGACAGTTTGAGCCTGTAACCCCTGAGCCGCATCAACTAGTAGAATGGTCCCTTGACATGCTGCAAGAGACCGGGATACCTCATAATTGAAATCTACATGACCCTAAAAAGAATCGACATGTCACTTTAAGTCGCAAGAGATAAAAGAAATTTTAAAACTTTACAATACTAATGAACATATACCGGCGTGTCAATTAAATTAAGTAAATATTGTTTATCGTTATATTTATAGAACATGGAGCATGTCTATAAGTACAGTTTAATTACAGTTAGTGTTAGTAGAGAATCTGAAGAAAGTGTAATATATTCAGAATACTTTTTACCTGCGCCTTTATTGTGATACCTCGCTCTCGCTCTACAGTGAGTTTGTCTAAAACTTGATTATGGGAATGATGCTTATTTATAGTGCCTGTTAATTGTAAACTAATAAGTATATGTTTGAATGTTTAAATTACATAATTCATGTGAATTATTCCTTGCCTGTAAGCTCTAAAAGCCTATTAATGTATACGCGAACGATATAAAATTTTTATTAAGTTTATATTGGCTGGTTATTGTTTCAGACACTAAAGATTGAGAAATCTTACCTATCCGCTAGTGTGCTTTTACCATGATCTATATCGAAAGATTAAATACCGACGATAAAAAAAAAAAATTAAGGCTGAAAAAACTGATCTCTTTAGTTCTCTATAAATATATCAAGCTTACCTACCAACATGAGCAATAATGCTAAAATTACGGATATGTTCCGCAGGAATTTTTGTCAAATCTATATCTTGATCGTTCTTGAATAAAATGATTCATTATTTAAATATTTATTAGATCCTTGATAAAATTAATTGAGATGATTCTGGAAAGAATGAGGCCATGTACTAATACATTTAACGTAGATTGCCATCTTTTTATGTGTAGTCCTTTATAACATCTTTCACGACTTCTAAAATTATAACAATGTTTGGAAAAACACGATTGATTTACTAAAAAATTACAAGAAAAAGTTCGCGCTGAAAAGTTTAAATTCTTTTGTAATGTAATTTTATCATATTTGAATGCAGGAAAAGTTCCATCAATAAATAACTTTATTGCACGAATCGTCATTTCTAAAAATATAAATTTATGAAAAAAGTTGAGAATTTGAATTTTTTGATCATGCTGATCTTTGACAAAATCTTATATAGATCTGATTTTCTCGACTTACTTTTTCCTTACATGTACATCGAATAACTAATGAAAATAAAAAACCCAGAGGTATTTTCATATTTCATAAATATATATTTTCATGGATACTTTATGCCAATGATTAAATAAATAAATTTACCTTTCTAAAACAACACAAGTTCCAAAAACTTTTTTATGCCGGTCCGGTAACAAGTCTATATTTTCATAGCGACACAATACTATTTTCTAGCCAAGGTCCTTATTTAAAGGCCTTTTTTATTCCAACCGGGGAACTTTTGGCCAGTAGCTTGGCTCTGGAATATTGGCGGATACATAGGATTGTACCAGGTACTTACTAGATAAGACTGATCAAAAAGACAAATAAAATAATTATATATATATATTATTAAATTTCAGCTAAAAATGTTGAAATAAAAGAAAGTATTATTGAAGCGAAATATAAAGATGATCAATATTTATTAAGCATAATTACGGAAGAAAGAAGGTTGTTGGCGATATATGGATCAAAGACAATTCATCTTATTGAAGCCATTATCGAATACGATGTAGACAAGTATGATATTAATTGTCACGGATGATTCTGAAGTTTGGACATATTTTTGATATGAAATTTTATAATTAGGATTAGGTTAGGATTTAGGGTTAGAATTTGTAATTAAAAGGTATATGTGGATTTTAGCAGGGCTTATAATTTAAAATTGTGACCTCAGATTTCAGCATCATCCGATTTCACGATCATCCGCGACATTAATTATAATATCACCTTATAGTGATCGTGCCTGAGTTCTAAATGAAAATTTTTCAATTACAGGATAAAACCACCAAGGTGTACATTCAGTATAATATCAAAATTACCACCTTTAAGAGATTGGATACATGATGCACAATGGTTATATGGAAATTCTAGTACTTCCCTAATTCAAGAGATATCTTCTGTACGAGAAAATATTTAATTTCTTCATTATCTTAATATAATATAGCTGTTTATTAACAATGATAATTAAAAAAAAGTTTATTTATCAAATTACCTCTTAATAATTAATAGCATCAATCAACATCCAATCTCTCAATCATAAAATCAAATAATCCATCAGAGTTAGCTGTTGCATTTGCACACAACTTTGTGGAAATATGGAATGTTCAGCAAATATGTTGTGTTTATTCAGTTCAATGTGAAGATCTTTGTATTTTATGTTCAGCAAGATTTCTTGGTGATACAAGAGATAGTTTAATATTAGCATCAGGAACAGCTTTTAGCCAAGTGATTTTATGGAAAATTACACAAAAGAATACACAGGGTAAAGGTGTTGTGTTTAAGAAACTTATCGGTCATGAGGTATATTATTCAAAAGTATGGTATTGGGATATATTAGGGATTTTTATTAATTCATATTTTACACCCAATTTGAAGGGTTCTGTATTTGGTGTGAGATTTAATGAGGATGGTAAAGTTGTCGCATCAGTATCCGATGATAGAACTATTCGGGTTTGGAAGATTACAGATGATAAGTTAGTTATTACTTAATTGTTTATTATTTAATGTCCTTTTTTATTAACAATATTATACTCATATAATTTTATTTGAATTATAACATAATTATTATAAATAGTCCCAAACCTTTAGTCCTATATGGGCATATGGCACGCGTTTGGGATTGTCTTATATTAGACGACCATCTTATCAGTATTTCTGAGGTAGTATTCTTAATTTCTTTTGGATATGCTTTCATCCATTTAATATTATCATCAATGTTAATAATGCCAGGATTCAACATGTCGCGTTTGGCATAACAGAATTAATAAAAGCATGGATGATGAAAGTGATGTCGATTGCCTTGCATGTTGGGAAGGTCATGTTGGTAAAAATATTTGGAGCTTAGCGATCAATCCGTCAAAAACAATTGTGGTAGGCAAAATTTTACAGATAATATGAATCTGATATACAACTCACGCATTCTTAATTAAGGCAACGGGAGGTGGAGATTCTGGTATTCGGTTGTGGTCTTTATCATCTGTGACTAATAATAAAATAGGTATTTATGTCGTCAAATTGAATCAACTAAAATACTAATAACTTAGTAATTATTATTCTAACGTTGTATCTATACGTAGATTCAGAAAAAGATTTAATTAAGATTATATTACCACCTGTCGACACTTATACCCAATTGAATGTATGTCCATGTTTATAGTGTTCTGATCTGTATGACAGTCGTTTTCTTATATTTGAATATTTTCACTTGCAAAAAAGACCAATCAAATTTCTTTGCCATCAAGAGAACACATTCGTAATTTTGTTCTTGTAGATTATTGTACGATTGTAGTTGCTACAAATTTTGGGTAAATTTTGTTAATTGACCTAGTCTTTTCATATCTACGTTACAGTAAAATTTATAATATTTATATTGCCTTTTAGATACTTGTTAAAACATAATCACATCACTAATGAATGGACACCATTAAATAGCTCGACTAATTTGCAAAATTATACAATGATGAAAGCTTCAAAATGTGGAAGAATTGTATGTTGTGGAAGTATTGATGGAAATGTATATGTTGTTAGTGTGAATAAGAAATTCAAGGTACAGACAAAACCTTTTTTTATTTAAAAGATAAATTTAATATTTGGTATTCATTATTTAATAAATTTCGAAAAGACCATAAAGAAGAAATTACATGAATTTAAGGTGTTTGAAATATTTTGTGAAGAATCTTCAGGTTCGAATTTTATACTTTTATTTTTTTTTTTTATAAACAAATAATAACTTAGAATTTGGGTTCTTTAGATCCTGATATCATTTATGTAATATCACATGCAGTACATAATGACATATATATTCTTAAATTGGAATTAAATTGTAAAAACACAGATGTAATATATTTAATTAATTATAATAACAATTTTTAAGAACTTAATTACCAACAAATCTATCAAATTTCAGATTCCTAAATTTGAAATTTACCATAAACTGCTTGTTCCACAAAGTTTCTTACTCATGTCTCTAGCATTCTGCCCACGTTACAACCTTTTAATATGCGGATCACGAGAAAGCGGGTTAATAATATTTAAAATGGCGTATGACATTACAGATAAGGAGCTTGATAAGTCTTCAATCGAGATGTCACCAGTAATTTATCTAAAAGAGACACATGGAAAACAAGCAGTAACATCAGTAGCACTAAAATTTGATAGTTCTGGGAATAATAACGAAGATGATTTATTAACTATATATACATCTGGGAGGGATGGTGGATATGTAAAATATAGGTTGAAATGTTTACCAACAATTGGCGAATCTTATAATAGTTTTGAGGAAGGCTGTAAGATGATGGAAAATTATCTTCATGGTGATTATTTGCTAGGAAAGGTTATGAGTTATGAATCGCTTTCTATAAATACTAATTTAGATCATGGCAAATAATTTCAGGATATGATTTAATATTAGAAGAGGTTTATAGAGCAAAAATTACTAAAGGGTGGATAGAAAAGGTTATTATTAAAATCATGGTTTTACTATTTATTTTATTTTATTTTTCTTATTACCTCTGGATCTTAACATATGATTGTATTAAAGGTAATGTTTGTAGACGATGAATTGATATTGTTGGGATTTTACAGGAAGAGATTTTTTGTATATAATGATACCAAAAAATTTGAGGTTCTGAATTCTTATTTGCTGTCATATTTACATAGTGGTATCAATCACTAACTCGTTTATAATTAAAGATGCTTTCAATTGCTTGTGGCGGTGCCCATCGAGTTTGGCATTTTAAGGCCCAAGATAAACGAATGAATAAAGCTAGTTTTATGTTTATTCGTAAGGAGAATGTATTTAGACTTTTATATTTTTTACGTTTCATTTTCTCAATTTATCACTTTCATAAAAAAATTTATTGTTCCACATATATATATAAAAAGATATTTATTTACTCAAGAGAGACCACGGTGACAAACGAAGGATTTAATGAATGCAAATTACAAGAAAATTTTCATGGAAAAGAATGTAGAAATGTGAAATTTTTGCGTAAGTAAATTTATTTTTTTCTTTTATAATTATTATGTAAATTTTTTAATATTTACAAATTTATTTTAAAAAGCGTATCCTCTAAATGTTTCACATAATTATCATTCGTTCAAAAATGATCCAATTATATTTGCTACTGGGGCTGAGGACAGTTTGTTAAGGTTATTTCAGTGTAAGCCTATGCAAAACTTTTCGATAATACATATATGTTATAAGTTGACTTAAAGTTTGTGTTAACATATAACTGTCACATAAAACAAATTATGAACTTATAATTGGTTAATTCTAGTTCATTTATCTCAAATTCTAAATCAACTTATAATATATACAAATTTAACTTGCAATTGCAATTGATACATAGGAATTTTATTTAGATATACCTGGCGAGAAAGAAAATCACTTGTTTAGCTTGTGCAGTATTAAAAAACATAGTTCTGTAATTAAGAACATAGAATGGAGTCTTGGTAAATATTTGTTTTCTTATTTTTTGTCAATTATCTTCAGCAAAATAATTGAGAATTATTTATTTTTTACATTGTAGGCAATGAACTATTATTATTCTCATGTGGTGCAAGTGAAGAATTAACATGTTGGAAAGTTGAAATTAAAATTATGCATGACCAAAAAGATATTTCAAGTACTTTATTTTCACAATTTTTCATTTAATGGCTTGTTTATTGTAAACTACATATTTATTAGAATTTAATAGTACAAACGCCCTTTGTCAACATAAATTGTCTGGAATGGGCATCTTGTCCTGTCGTCAGGTAATTATTAATATAAGTATAGAACAGATACATCTACATTTTATTAAGCATTAAATTTAATTCTACCTATTTGTAATTAAATTTGTCTTCAGTGAGGTTTTAGAAACTAGAATAATGGATACAAGTATTTTTCCAATTAATACAAGTAATGGGCATCATATAATTGCAGCCGTATATTCTGATTCCATATTAAGGGTAAGTTTATCATTTTTCTAAATACATAACTAAATAATAGTAATTATTAAAATTCTATAATTATAATTAATTCAGGTTTGGCTATTTGACGAAAAAAAAAGAAATTTCTTTTTGATTGGAATGGCTAAATTTCACAATAAATGTATTTTACAAGTAAAACATATGGTTATTAAAGGTTATAGTTTTATAATTTATTATGTCATCTTTGTATAATTGCAGATTATTGGTATTAATTTAAATCCTACCTTCTATTTTAGCAAGAGAATCAATGACCGAAGATGGCTTACTATTATTCACATCAGCAACCGATGGCAGGTATGCCGTATTTTTATTTTTAATATCTTTTGAAATTTACCAATATGTAATAATATTTATTCAAATTTCCTATTAAATATATAGGATTGCTATATGGGATATTTCGTATTACATTCATAGGTGTTTTGATATCTCCTCAAATGCATTCTTTTGCTCTTATTATTATTTTCTCATCTTTATTTATTTTCAAATTAGCTATTTAATTTCATACGCTACCGAAGTACCGTTCCAACATCACACCCCATTCGATCTAGGCGTGCCAATTTTCTCATACCAAGCGCATCAGTCTGGAGTAAATTGTCTCGCACTTCATCACATGAATAACCCAGCTACTTCTAACTTCATAAAAGAATCATATTTAGTTGTAACCGGTGGAGATGATAATGCTATAGCTGCTATAGTTTTGGAATTCACATATGAAGTTAAAGAAATGAATTATGGTATGAAACGTGGAAAATGGATCATGGAACAATGCATAAATGATATTTTCAAAATGGATGTAGCACATGGATCGTCCATTCAAGGTTTTTATTTATTTGTTACGACAAATAAAATGAAATCAGATTAAAATGAAATATTGCCCAATTTTAATTAGAAATTTACACGCCTCGATAAAATTTTTTGAATATACTTTTTTTTGAGTTTGGGTTGGGATTTAGAATTATTAATAAAAAATCATATGTAGATTAGAAGCTTGAAAAGGACCCTAGATTTCCTCTTAATCTGGTTTCATTTAGTCTCCAACATTTATTAACTTAATATTTTAATATTTTTTGTTCTTTATTAGGTATACACATAGTAAATGACTCGACAATACTCAGTACATCAATTGATCAACGATTAAATTTATGGAACGTTACGTTTAAAAATTTATTCAATGACAAAATAAGTGAGAAGAACAAAGAAAGTAAATTTGAGTTAATTAGATCGGAATTTATTAATGTTTGCGATCCATGTTGTATGGATGTTTTAAACACAAATAAGTTAATGGTGGCCATTGGTGGGATTGGAATAGAGTTACTTCAGATTTAATTTATAATTTTATTATATAAAATGTTATTTTAAATTATTTTACATATTATCTCTTAATCTATAGCTATATATTTTCGGACAGAAGTTACTATAAATTTATATATATAACTATATAAAATTAATTTCTTGGGTAGGCCGGGTCAATGTTTGATAATTTTGTTTAGAATAAATCTACTCAGTACCTTCATCTTTATAATAATCATTGGTTTGTATAAATATGATTAAATCAATTTTTATCAAATAAAAATTTTTAATATATATTAGAGTAATGTTGGATTATAAATTGGAACGAAGACAATTTATACTGAAAGTTTTTATTAAAGCCGAAAAGGTAGTTTATAAATACAATTTTAATATACAGTCAGATTCTTTATAGTCACCCTCTATATAAGTACAGTATATCATTTAAAAATTTCTCTTTATATGTGCACCTATTTTTTTTTTTTTTTTTTTTTTTTTTTAAGGTTATCTCTTGGTTTTTTGACTTTTATTAATGCTTTTTTGGTAATGTGGTTTCATATGGAACCATCACAGGAAAAGTGTACAATTGGTTATATGTGTAACTTTTCTATATTAACTATTAAAGAAGTTCATTTAAAGGTTTTCTATCAATTGTCATACTTAACATTCTGCTTGAGTGTTTTATTTTAAATTCTTTGAATCTGCAATCTGTGTTAACTTCACTAGATCATGCCAGATCACTGTTTTAATCTTAGAATTATTTTATCCTTGAAGTAAACCTTTTAGAGCTTTCTGATATTCATTTTACAGTTAATCTGATATTATTATAGTTGAATCAATACTTGTTATTAGAGTTAATCATTAAACCATTATACCTTTACAGAGTTTACTTAAACCTTAGTATTACTTTACAGTATATCTGAAATATTTTAATATACTTTTGTATTATCTTGAGACTTTTAATCTAAATAATCTAATAGGATTATAATTACTTCATTAGTATATCATATTAGTTTAATATTCTTTTTTTCTAGTTTAATTCTAATAACCTGATTGATGATATCTTCTTGTTCATTTAATTTTTTACATTAGTATCAGTTTTATAAGATTAGTCTTTATAGTAATACTATTGAAGATCTATACTATTTCTTTGTTCAGATTTTTTTAAGTAGATTTTTTGTTTTCTAGTTTATATAGATTTACACAATCACAAGACTTATTTTAAGTTTGTATCATCTGATGTTAGTTCATATTCCTCTGCATAATCAGTTATACAGATGTCTTATGATCTACCAATCATATTTGTGTAATTATAATTACAGATATTTTAATCTAAGTATTAGAAATAGTTATCATAATACAAATATTATATAGTTAATTGTTTAAATTTTCATTATTAATAGGTTTTAAAATTATAATCTATTACTTGAGAGGTTAATAACTTATTTACTTTACTAAGTTATTATATTTTATATATACTTATTTTAAACCAAACTATATTATAAATATATAATACAAAATTTTCTATATAAACAACTCTTTATATATACATTTTTTAAAAAAAAAATATAATGAATTTTCTTGATATTATTATAAAAAAGTCTGACTATATATGTTCTTTTATTGGTTTAAAACCTATTGTATCTTCATCATTGTCTATTAATTTATTAATTATAGTATTTAGTTAATTTTAAAACATTTTTTTTTTAGTATTAAAGTGACCTCTTTGGTTTTAGTTTTTTATTAATACTTATGTTAGGTACATGTTTTATATAGACATATCTATATTAAACTATTAGATAAGTGTACAATTGGCTATATGTGTAACTTTTCTATACTATCTATTTAAGAAGTTTGTTCAGAGGTTTCTTACCAGTTGCCATATTTAACACCCTTGCTTAGATATTTTATTTAAACTTTTTAGTCTGATTTTAGTATTAATTTCATCAGATTACAAACACAGATATTTACTTTTAACCATAAAACTATAATTCTTAGATTATTTTTATCTTCAAAGCAAACCTATTAGAGTAAGCCATATTTTTTTTTATTGCTAACCTGGTTTAATGTTATAGCCAAGACCAACACTTGCAATCAGAATTATTCATTAAACTATTATTAATCTTATAAAGTTCACTCAAATCCTGATATTCATCTTTTTAACTTCTTCATTATCTTCTACTAGTAACAACTCAGAACTAACCAATTCTTCAAACTTTCAATCCAGATAGCCCAGTATAGTATACTTATGTATTCTTTTTTTTTAGCAATTTTGATAGCCTGGTTGGTCATATGTTTCTTTACATATCTTGTTATCTAGTTTATTTGACAGTTTCTATAAAGGTGTTTTATGAACTTCTATTGGCCCAATAGCATTATCAAAAGTTTGTGCTATCTTTTTACTCAAAATTTTCAAGTGGGTTTTCATTTTCTCAATTTCTTAGCCTTTTATATCTAGTAGTTTTATCACAGATTTGTACTAAAGTCTTATATAATACTGGTTTTTCATATTTCTTTATATACATGTAATGTTACATTTTATATAAATGTTCTGAGTTTTCAATGTCAGATGGAATCCAACTTGGTGTACCTAAGATTACAGATGCCCAAAACCTAACTAATCGACAAGAAACAGTTATTATAATAAAATATAATTTTTAAAATTTATCATTTGTGGAAATTGAACCTTAGACCTGCTACTTGAAAGTTAACAACCTATCTATTTCACTAAGTTACTACACTCTATTTTAAGACATATTAAATATATATTAATTATTATATTTATCTATATATTTTAATTTTTATTTATTCAGTTTACTTTTAAAACATATATATATAAATATATCTAAATTAGTAAATTGATATAATAATATATCAAATTTAGAATAGTATATCAGAAATATATATATATTAAAGTTTTTATAACAAAGAAAATTATATTATTTTATTAATAAAATTTTTTTTATCAATCATATAATAAAATCTTTCTTTGAATATAAAAATATAATTAGAATATTTATAGTTTTTATAAAATAATTTTTTTAATTTTTTTTATATAGATATTACTTTAATTTCTTTCTCAATTATATTAGTTTCTTAATAATAAATCTTGTATTTATATTTATATTAAAAATAACAAATATTATTATTTTTTAGATATTATAGTGATATTAATTTATTGGTTATTAGATTTATGCATTTTTTTAAATATAATTATTCTGATATAGATTAATGTTTAAAATATAGATCTATAATAAAATGTTGTATAGTTTAATTTTAACTAATATTATGCTCTTTTTGTTAATATAAAGTTATATAGATCAGTACATAACAAAAAAAAATTAAATTATTTTATTTAGATTATAAAAAATTAATATATATATATTGCATATTTTGTATATTTACTTTTTTTTTTTATTTTTTTTTTTTAAATGTTAAGGTGAGTACATGCGACTCAGGATTTTACTGATAGTATAAGTTGGCTAGCGCCTGTACATGTACAGACACAGAGGCAATTACAGAAAGTGTGTACAACTAGCCACTCATACAACTTTAGTTATTGTCTAATTTAAGTAGTCTGCCCGAAGGTTCTACACTAGTTGCTATATCTAGAATCCACCTGTAGATCCTCTATTTAAACAATCTGATTCTGCATCTACCACACCCTACCAGCAACTTTGGTAAACCGGTGAAGATATGCCATGGCCACTAAGTCATGTTTAACTTTGTACTAAATCTACTAGTGCATTCTGTATCTTATACTTACAGCTCACCCGGTCATGCTTTGGCCTAAACCATCACTTGCAGTCAGGGCTAACCATTAAACCACTTTTACTCTTGTAAGGTTTACCCAAAACCCCGGTACCCATCTTTCTGATGTCCTCTCCATTGTCTTCTACTAACCGCTACTCAGGACTGACAGGACTCCCCAGACTTCCAATCCAGATGGCCTGGTATGGTATACCTTAGTATCCTTTTCCTCTGGCAATTCCAGTGGCCTGATTGGTCATATGCTCCTCTACACATCTTGCTATTTGGTTTATCCACTTATCTCTTTGGGGATGTTTCATGGGCTTCCATCAGTCTGACAGCACTGTTGAAAGTTTTGTACTACCTCCTTACTTGGGATTTCCAAATGGGTTTCTGACTCTTCGGTTTCTTTGCTTTCTACACCCGGTAGTCTTATCGTAGGTTTGCACTGAAGTCTTATGCAACACTGGTTATTAACATTCCTCTATGTGGGTGTAACATTACACTTAGCATAGATGCCCCGAGCTCCTATTCGAGATGGTGCAACAAAGGTTACAAATACACCAATCCAACCAATCGACAGAGACAGTTACTGTAACACAGACCTATTTTCCAAAATTTGTCATCTATGGGATTTGAACTCTAGACCTGCCACTTGGGAGTTGACAATCTGACCACTTCACTAGGTCGCCACACCTCACATTTTGTATATTTATTCTTTATCAATTTTATTATTTTAAATATAAAATCATTATAACAAGAAATACTATATACAAAATTGTATAAAATTTTATTATATTAATACAATCTAGTAAGAATCTTAAAATGTCTTTAAGTTCTAACTATATTTAATAATTAAATATATATATATATTTTAAATTGTAAATTATAAAAGATGTGGTGACCTAGTGAAGTAGTCAGATTGTCAATTCTTCAAGTGATAGGTTGGGTGTTCAAATCCTATCAATAGTAAAAATTTGAATAATTACCTATGTAATATTTGTATTATAGTAACTGTTACTAATAATTAAGTTAGAATACCTGTAATAACAATCATATCAGCATGACTGGCAGGTTATAAAACATTTGTACAATATTGGAATTATATAGAGAAATGCAAACCAACAAATCAGATAATGCAAATACTAGATAAGTCCTTGTAGTCATGCAAATTTGTTGAAATTAAGTAATAAGAAGTTTATTTAAAAAGACCTGAGTAGAGAAGTAGTTGGATCTATAATGGCTTTACTGTAAAGACTAGTCTAAAAAAATAAATACCAAGGTTATAGTATTTAGTCATAGTAGCTAGATAAGAAAAACTATCAAATTGGAAATCTCAGAGGTACCACCAACTAGGCTGCCAGAATGAACTAAAAAAAAAGAATATCAGGCTAATCTAATATACTGATAGACTGGTTATAGTCTTATACAGACTATTTAAATTGAAAGTTTAATAAAAATACAGGTGAAAAGACAGAGCAGTTTAATGGTTAAGTCCTAACTGCAAGTATTGGTTCTGCCATAGTGATATCTAGATTAGCTATAAAAATAAATACAAAAGGCTCTGAAGAGTTTATCTTAAGGATAAAATAGTTCTAAGTTTGAGATAATGATCTGGGCATCAGATATGATCCAGTAAAATTAATAAATTTGCAGATTCAGAAGATTTAAAATAAATTTTTCAAGCAGGAATATTAGATATAACAATTTGTGAAAAACCTTTAAACAGACTCCTTAAATAGATAATATAAAAAAGTTATATATATAGCCAATTGTATGCTCTTTCTGTAGTGGTTCACTGAACTATATTTATTATTGTTAAATAAAATCAAAAGATCCAAAAGGTCATCTTAATATCAAAAAAAAAAATTTGTAAATTATTATTAGTATAACTATATATAGTAAGAACTAATTATGTATAATTTATATAATTTAATTGTTAACTAGTTATATATATATGTACTAATTAAAAGCTATTCAAAAGTTAATAATTTTAATTTTTAATTAGTTTATATTATAATATTTTTTTTAATTATCTTAGATGATATCATTATAGGATGCATGTGGTGCTTTACTATAATAATTTTATATATAGTATATATTATATACAATATAATTATAGAATTTTTTTAATATTAATAATAAGGTTATGCTTCTATTTTTATTAAAATTTAATTAAACTTTTTACAAGTAGAATATATAAAAAAAAATTATATTTGAATTCTATACTATAAGATATTAAAATTAGAGATTCAAACAAGTTATCTGTAATCTAAACTTATAATAATTATAAGATATATAAAACATATAAATAATAAAAAAATTATATATTTAATTTTTTTGTATATATAATATAAAATAAGATTAAATAATATAATATATATTTGTAACTATAGTTATTATTATTATATAAATTTTATAATAATTTAAAATTTTATTAGAATAACCTATTATATAATATAAATAAAAATATTTTTGTTTTAATTTTAATTCTAGTTTTAATCATAACTTAAACATATATTTAACTATATAATTTTTATTAAAAAAATTATTTTAATAATAATATTTAATTATAACTATAATAACTATAGTTATAAATATTAATTCTTTATAAAATATATAAGCTAAATACTAAGAAAAAAACTAAAATAATAAAAAATTTTGCAAAAAATTGATTTTTATTTTTTTTATTTTTTTAAAAAAATAAGCTTGTATTTTATAACAGTATTTTTTTTAAATTTAGTTTATATAATTATTTTTTACAGTAATAAAACTATAATTAATTATATAACTTTTAATTATCTATTTAAATAGTTTGCTCTAGAGTTTTATACTAGATGTTATACTTATAATTTATTAGAAGATTATTTATTTAAACTCTTAGATTATTTGTTTTATCAATTATATTATTGTTATAATCTTTTATATATACTTAATTAGTATATTATCTAAGCAATATTTATATATATATTTTTTATATTAGTACTTAAATTATTACATATTTTAAAACATGATACTTATTAATAAAACTCAAAAAATTCTTCTTGTTAATTGTTTACTGATTTTATAGATTATTAACAAAAACTTGTTTTTATAAAATTTATATATATTCCAATATTTATCTTATAACATATCTTTAGTACTTTAGTATATCTTTGCTTTGTTTTTAGATTTTTAATTTAGATAACTTAAAAGAATTATAACCTGTTTTTGATATATTAAGTTCAATTTAATATTTCTTTTCTTTAATTCAAACCTAATAGTCTGATTAATAATACTCATTACTTAAAAGTTTTTACTTATCTAATTCCTTAATATTGATATCTGTTTTCTAAGTTTAATCTTTATAATATTATCATCTAAGATTCATATTACTTTTCTATTTAGATCTTTTTAACTAAATTTTTATTTTTTTATTTTTATAAATTTATACAATCACAAGAACTTATCTTAAATTTGCATTATTTGATATCAGTTTGCATCCTTCTATATAATTAAAATTATACAAATGTTCTATAACTTGTCAGTTATATTAGTTTAACTATAATTATAAGCATTTTATCTTAACTAATTAATAAAATACTGTTACTGTAATACAATGTATTATATAGATAATTATTTAAATTTTTTACTATCAGTAGGTTTTGAACTTACAACTTGTCACTTAAAAAGTTAATAACTTATTTATTTCATATCTTATTATACTTTAAGTTGTTTTTTTTTTTTGTGTTAAGGTAATCTTTTTGGTCTTTTGACTTTTATTAATAACTTTTTTGATAATATGATTTTATGAACCACTACAGAAGAAAATACAATTAATATATATGTAACTTTTCTATATTATCTATTTAAAGAATCTGCTTAAAGTTTCTTACCAATTACTATATTTAACACTTCTGTTTGAATATTTTACTTTAAACTTTTTGAACCTGTAATTTGTATTAACTTACTAGGTTATATCTAGATACTTAGATCATTATTTTAATCTTAGAACTATTTTATTCTCAAGATAAATTTCCAAAGTCTTTTATATCTATTTTTACAACTAATTTAAATATTGCTATAACAGAACCAACACTTATGATCAGAATTATATTATTTAACTGCTATATCTTTGTAAAGTTTATACAGATTCCAATATCTATTTCAAAATATAACTTTAGTACTTTAATATATTTCTGCTTTTTGTTTAGTCTTTTGTTCAGACTTTCAATTCAGATAGTCTATATAAGATTATGATCAGTTCAATGATATATTAAGTTAATCTAATATTCTTTTTCTTCAATTCATTCTAACAATCTAATTAATAATATCTTTAAGACTTTTATCTAAAGGTTTTTACTCATTTAAATACTATAATCAAATACTATAATCTTGATATTTGTTTTCTTAAGCTAATTTTTATAATAGAATCATTAAAGATCTGACTATCTCTCTATATAGGTCTTTTCAAATGAACTTCTTGTTATTCAATTTTAACAGATTTATATGATTACAAGAACTTATTTAATGTTTGCATCATCTAATTTATTAGTTTGTATTCTTTTGTATACCTAATTATACAAATACCCTATAACTTGTCAGTCATGCTGATGTAATTATTATTACAAGTATTCTAACTCAATTGTTAGTAACAATTGTTATCTCTTAAACTATTTGAAATTCAGAACAAATTTGTCCTAAATTTTATTATAAAAATACTTCTAATCTATTTTTTTTAAAAAATCAATATATTTAAGTAAAATTTTTTTTGATAATATTTGAAAACAAGGATTATATTTTTATAAAATTTATATTTAAATTATAAAATAAAAAATTTAACTTACTTATAAGCCAAAAATATACAAATTTTAAAAATATTTTAACTAAAAAAATAATTTATGTTTTTTTGATAAACTCTTTAAATATTAATTTTAAATCTATAATTTTTTAATAAAAATTCTTGTTTAAATAAAGAATAATAATATTCATTATTATGACTTCTGTAATTTACTTGTAAAAATTAAAACTTGTATTATAAGTAAAAAAATTTTTTATAGATAGAAACATATAAAATTTGAAAAATTTAAAAAAAAATTTTATAATAAAAAATTTAAAATAAAATGTTTAAACTTTTATTATCCTTAAATTTCTTAAAAGATTTAAAAAATTTTTTTAATAAAATTATTAAAATATATCTTAAAATATATTTTTTATTTAGAAAGTATATGTCTAAAATTAAATTTTTGGATTTTATTTAAAAAATAAGGTTTTTAAAAAAATTTCAAGGCAAATTTGTAGAAAAAATGGTTTAAAAAATAATACAAATATTACATAGATGATTATTCAAATTTTTATTATTAATAAGATTTGAACATCCAACCTACCACTTGGAAGGTTGACAATCTGACCACTTTACTAGGTTGTCACACCCTTTCAAATTGATTTTTATATATATTAGAAAATCTATATTAATTAATAAAAAAATACAGATTTCAAAAAATTATACTACAAAACTTTATTAATACAACAGCACTTTTTTTTTAAGTAAAAAATATTTAAAGTTAATTTTAAATTAATTAAACTCAAAAAAATTCTTTTTAAAAAAATAATTAGTTTGGTCTCTTTTCTTAACACCTAACCCATATAATTATTAAAAAACAAAATATCTTACAATAAATTTCATGCCATGCTTTATTTTTTCAGCCAATCACATATTGGCATTTTTTTCTAAATTCTTGATTCCCGTTGTAATACATGAAAATTTGCTGATCATAGTACAGTAATTTGAAAGGCATGATAATAAAAATTCGTTCATTTAAATTCAATTAGTGGTAGTTAATAGGATTTGAATAAACAACAATCGTCAACTTTAATCAGGATATCTTCACTTAAAACTTTAAAAAACTTATAATTGTTGAAATACAAATAATACTAAATGTTCTTTAGAACTTCGAATAAAAATATCTCAACAATTACTTATATTCACGGTCGAATTGGAATAAAAAAAGCTTTCATTGGATTAGCTGGGTGTTGGACATATCTGGGACAAGATTGAGACAAAATTAGATCAATTTTGAAAATTTTGAAAAAATATCACTAACTTATAATTTATTAAGACATCCTTCTTTTAGCTCTTAATAAAATGTTTTAAATTACATATATTTTATTGTAGTTTTAATATAGCTTTTTAATTAAGAAATTGATAGAACAAAGTTGAAACTAGGTATTAATTTCACCAAATAAACATCAATTTCATCGGGATATCTTTACACGGATAATCATTAATGATTTTATTTGCTACTCTGATATATATATGTATATTTTTTATTATCAGCTCATGTTGTCAGAGCTGTCATTTAGAATTACTGAATGTTTTAGATGAAGATGACAAGCCTCTTTGCAATGAAAAAACCGGGTTTAATGCTCTTAAAGCATATCTGGGCTCATTAATTTTTATGCATTTGCATTATATGAACCCAGAGGGAGTTTTGAACGAATTGACTTTATTAAAATTATTATTATTTTTTCGACTTTTTTATTTCGGATCAGATTAAAAAGCGGATGAAATCACATCCCATAATTATGAAGTAATGGTTGGTCATCGACGACAATAATCAGCTTCACTTTAAGGATGTACGTCACTTTTAAGTATGGCTATTTTTTGTCATGTAATGATAATTATTCTTTTTCTTCGGGAATATTCTACAATTTTTTTTTTTTTTTTTACGTAACATAATTAAAACATATATGTGCTATCAAATCAATCTAACCAATCTTAATTTAAAATAAAAAAAAGGTTACATTAATACAAATTAGCACGTGGATTTTAATGTTTATCAAATCGATCATTAGACATTCGTTCAATTTTTGACCAAGATCCAAATATATTTTAAAAAAAAAACCGACCAAATATGATTATCTGAATTTTGAGTTTTGACCGAATCAGGCCTCTACTTCATGATTTTCTACATTTGTTATCTGGTTCAATAACTCTTGACACTGGTAGGCTTGCTCTGCAACAGAATCCACACGTAGAGTATAGACAGTTATTACTGATTCATCGATTATTTGTTGATCGGTTTTAATTAATTCCAATTCAGAAACAAGTTCCTCGATAAGCTCTAAGATCACTTTGACTTTGGGTTGCATTTTTAATTTTCAAACGGAGGAAATAAATAATCAAAATACAAAAATCCCATACAGAATTTAACGAAAATTTAAGTTAAAAACCCCCCTAATATAATTCATACCTCTTTCTCTGATGTAATTCGAATATTCAATACTTTTTGAAGTTGTTGATTCGATTTCAAAGGCACTAGTTTGATAAAGAACTTGTGTCATTATTGGAGTAGTGGTCGTTAGTCGATTTAACAATTGTTCGATAATTTCATCCTGAGAAGAAAGTGAAGGTATATTATGAACTGTTTCTTTAGAGGGGTCATCGGTTGTACCAATTTTGTCCCGTTTACGTTTCATTATAAATTAAAAGGTGAGTGGGGTTTCGTTTCTGTATGTTATCATACGAGCTGAATGAGGTATTTTTATATTAGTGTACATCATTACATGGCACGTGATAATAGTTTTTCCATCATCGTTATCTAATAATATTATTGCCAAATAAATTTCTATACATAGCCATTATCAGTTATACGTACGTACGTAACGGATATCCTTTCCGATTAATTTTTTTATTATAAAAAAAATATATAAAAATCTTGTTATATCATACATCAATCCGACTCAGCTCACAAATAATTATAAGGATGTTATTTTGTCATTCTCAAAAAAGTTACAGTAGCGAGGAGTTTGTTTGCAAAAAGATAATATTTCACTAGCAGCAATCGTTATTCTTATCAAAATCCCTATTTTTATTTTTTTAATTTTATTAAAATTAATAAAATTAATATAAATTGATTTTTAATCTATTTTTTTTTAAACAGTTTAACTCTTTTAAAAACCTAAATAATAAATTAATAATAAATTTTTATAATAATAAAAATTGAAAATAATTATATAATTATTAATATTATATTTACTCTTTTAAAAGTTTGCAGAGGTGTTTGTATTCTTCTTTTTTTTGCTAACTGAATTCAAATTACTACAAGTTATTCTAAATATAAAATAAAATAATTAATACTTATTTTACTAACTACTTCTTCTTCTTTATCTTTAATTGAAGTTAACTTATTATTAGCAGATAGTACAAAATTTAGATTATTCTGTAATCTATACTTTATTTTATTTTTATTTATTTAATAGAAATTATTTAAATTATTATAAATTATTAAATTAATTTAATAGATATTAAGAATTTTTTAAAATTTGTATAATATTTTATAACATTTTGAAACAATTTAAAGTATAGGTTTTGTACACCAATTTCATACAAACAGACAGTCAAATTTGTTAAACAAACAGTCAAATTCATACAAACAAACAGTCAAATTTGTACAAATTGACAGTTAAATTTATATATAACACTTTTAATTAAATTGCAATATCTTGTGATCTAGTAACTTAAATTATATAAATTTAATATCATTTGATTCATCAAAATTAGATGAATCAAATAGTACCAAATTTATATAATTTAAGTCACTAGGTCATAAGATATTGTATTTAATTAAAAGTATTATATATGAATTTGATTATCAATTTGTACAAATTTGACTATCTGTTTATATAAATTTAACTGTCTGTTTGTATAAATTTAACTATTTGTTTGTATAAAATTGGTATGTAAAACCTATATATTAAAGTTTATAGAAATATTTTATTAGGTTTTTCTTAAACTGATTTTTAACAATTTCTTCTGATATTATTAAATATTTATAATAAGAACTTAACATAATTTGGCATATTCTTATAGTATATGCTATTTTATTATTTGTTAGTAAGTCTGATAGCTATATTTTAGATAAAATGTTTTGTATATATATTTCTAAATCAATATTAAATATTGTTACAAAGTAGATTTTAGTATTGTATATTATAAATAGTATTAGTAGTTATATATATTTTTTATTGTATTTTATATCTTATATTTATTATTATTAGTTATTAGTTATTAGTTAATCGATAGTTATATTATATAGTAGATAGATAAAAAGGATCTTAATTGGCTATTAGCAATGTAATACAGCCACATGACACTGAGTAACATCTGTAATGTTACTATCATCTTACAAACCCCAAGTACCCCTGTACAAGTTTCATGTAGCCTAGCACCAAATTATTGTATCAAGTGCCGCAGCACAAGAATCCCAAGTATCTTTGACATAAACTCCAAGTGTTCTTACACAAACCCCAAGTATCCTTACACAAATCCTAAGTGTCTTTGCACAGATTCAAGTGCCTAAACACAAGTCCCAAGTGTTTCAAGCATGAATAACAAATGATATAAACAACATTTCCAGTTGCCTCTGCACAGTTCCCACTATTCCAAACACAGTACTATTTAATGTTGTTTGAACCTCCACTATCCTAACTACAATGATATCTAATATTGTTCGAACCTCTATTACTCTGAGTACAGTATCAAGTAATGTTACTCGAATCTCCACTATCCTCATTAGGTAAAAAGATATAAAAAGGGTAGCTTTTACCCTTCTCTGCCAATTCTAAGTTCTTATACTTTAACCTAGACTCTTCTACCTTTATTTCTAACTTGTAAGAGTGATATTTCCCCTCTAGAGTAATTTTTACAGGCAAGGTTGTCACTGTGTGTTTATGTAATAAAAATTAATCTATATACTGTTACTATCTCGAACCGTTTGCCTGCTGCTATGTAGTAAAGTAAACTACTACATCTCCACCTCGTATATATTTGCAATAGTCAATCACTGTATAGGGTAGCCTTGTTACTTAGTTGTATTGTACCAAGAAGGCTGCAACTTTGTAACATTTTGGTGCCTTCTGGTGGAAATATAAAAATTTATCCCAGGAAAGGAACAGAAACCTCTTTCAAGGAAATTATCCCAGAAAACAATTTTCTTTCTAGGAAGAATTTTATTTTGGAAACAGCAATTGTGAAAAAGCATTTTGAAATTTTTAAATTATTATTTTAGATATACCTCTACTAACTCAAATTGAATTGAATTATTTTGTATTTTGCATTTGTATTTTGTATTTTGGAATTAAAGAAGTTTATGCTTTTACCTTCTATCTTTGAATTTTTGATTTTTGAAACAATTTTGATTTTGATTTTTGATTTTAATTTTTGATTTTACATTACTTACCAGCTGATGAATATATTTTGAATTGTTTAAACTTTTGATTAATTACTTGAACTTTTTTACTTGCTAGCACTATTATTTTAGATTTATTCTTTCGATTTTTATTATTTTATTTTATTATTTTATTACTTGTTAGTACTAACCTTTCTCAAAAAAATTTATTTTATAGGAGAGTTTATTACTCAATTTCATTTAGAAAATATTTGAAAACATCAACAGATTCATAGTAAAAACTCTTTTCTCACTACTACTGTATTGCAAACACTTGCAATTGATTTATCTTGTTCTCAGTGTTATCCACCAATGCCTATTTCCTCTAACTCTTACAGACAATTTGCTCAATTTTGGGCTTGGTATTCAGAAGCCTTTCATGCTACTTCTTTTACTAAAGTTACCCAATCTAACATTCTAAGGCTTGCTACTGCTGGACACTTAGCTGCCTGAGTTGCAACTAAAAATATTATTTTCAGTTGTTATTACCAAAATCAGATAACTAGTTCTTGAGAAATTACCCAACTTCTCTTTTGGAAATATATCTCTCACCACTCAGTACCATCAATTACTGCTGATCAAAGGACCCCATTTGATATTTTTATTGATGACCCAGTTGGAACTCAACAACATATTAAAGCTTTACAAGCTGTTGCATTAAAATCAGCACAAGGTTCTGAAGAAGAAACCAGCATATTTGCTTCTCAACAATTATTACAAGAAACTGTTATTACTGCAAAAGAACCTATTACTACTTCTACTTCTCCTATCACTGCTATTATCACTCCTACTCGAACTCCAATACCTATTGTAGACTCTAGCTCTTTATTACTATATAGTAAAGATCAACCTAGTAGACATTATACCTTTTTCCGACAAAATAACCTTTCAAGAAGAGGATTATTACCTTCTTTTTCTACTCAATCAGAAGCTTTATAAGAAAGAGAAAAAACTCAAGAACCTTTCTACACTCCTACTTGATCTTCCTATACCCCTCGACTTTCAAACCTAACAACACCAAGACCAGTTACTAGATTTACTAACCTTCTAACCAAAGAAATTAATTTTTTCTCACCTCAACCTGGTATTGACTCAAGTCCAGAAGCATCTTCCTTTACAACTACTGAAAACCTTACTACAACTGAAGAAGCACCCTTTTTAACTTTTGACTTATCAGGAACAACTAGCCATCCTAACATCTCAACTGCATAGTCTAACTATTCTATTATTGAGATACAACCTAGCTACCAACAACCAATTGATCCTGAAGATCTTATTCGAAACTTGGAAACTTATTCTCAAAAAGATACAACTATTAAAGACCTTAATCCATTAACAGAACAAACTTATTTTGAAGAAGAACAACCTTCATTAGAAGAAGAACCAGAAAACTCAAATGAAACTATTACTGACAAACTTAACTCTAAAGACGAAAGAGCTATAGACAACACTGTTGCTGCAATAAATAGACTAGTTGACACTCTTAAAACTGCAGAAAAGTCACTTTTTAAAATTGTATTATTTAAAGATGATGAAACTGAAGACCCAGTCAATTGGATTAATAAATTTGAACAAGCTGCTATTGCCAATGAATAGTCTGAAGCTAGAAAACTTGTAATTGCCCAAGCATATATAAAGGACAATGCAGAAGATTGGCTTAAAGGACTTGAAAATGACCATTTTCAGTCATATAGTGAAGGAGATATTTCTCAATTTAAAACTAGTTTCTTGGAGCAATTCAAAACAGTCAAAAAGAAAGCTATGTGGCAACAATAATTCTTTAATCTTAAACAAGGAACCAATACTGTTAACACATACATTGCTCAGTTTAAAAAGCTTAGAAGAAAGGTAAACTCTGATAAAGGCTTCCCAAATAACTTTATTGTTCAGCTTTTTATTAAAGAATTGCAACCAGAATATGTAATACTTATACAAGCATCAGTTCCTAAGGACTTAGCTACTGCTATCAAAAAAGCAAAACATTGGGAACTAAAAAAAGTAATGGCCATTCCAGAAAAAGATGATGTTAATAACATTACCAAACAACTAGCCCAACTATATATTAACTCAGTCATGACCCAACCTTAACCAACACCACAAGCTTAACAAACTCTACAGTCTCACACAACCTATATTGCAGAAAGAGAAAATAACTCTAGACCTAACTTTGCACAGAACAAAGCTCTTTGCTATTACTGTGGTAATCTTGGACATTTCATGGCAAATTGTAGAAAGAGACAGAATAAAAAC